TTCTCATACTATTCTTATGTTATCAGAAAGCTGACAGATATGTAATAGTTAACTCTTGTTTAAGAAAAAATTAAACAGCTCAAAAGCAGCGATAAGCAAGCAACTGTAGCTGTTATAGACTTTTATTCTTTTTCTTATTAGCGTCTAACTCATTGACCAACTTTTTAAAGGCGAGCATAGTGCTTATCCAGACAGATACAACGTTTAAATGAACTGTTAAATAAATGCTATTGATGGCGGTTTCTGTAAAATAGACTGTTAAAAATTAAGTCATTCTCATTGGTCGAAAAATTAAGGCAAACATTAATTTGCTGTTGTAATAAACTTGTGTATTATAACTATAGATCATAGAAAAGGCATTGTTTGGAAAGGATGTTTGCCTCAATCCCTGGCTACGTTATTAGACAGACCATAAGGTAATTATAACTTCTTCACTTGATGTTCACCATATTTTGGATCAGTCAGTTAAGTGGAAGTTTAATGAGACGATAATATACATGTAGTATGATGTCAATGTTTCTACCAGGTGTTATTTTAGTGATGATAGCAGCAACAGGTGCCTGCCTAAAATATCCCCTTTATACCTTTTTACATAATTATGTTTATTATATATATATAGGGGTAGGATAGAGGTGTGTGCGTTAGACGTGGGGCACTTGTATTGGCAGCTATAATGTCTTCCTATGATATAAAGAAAGAGTCATGTGATCTTACTCTTCCCTGTTGCCAATTAAATTAAAGTACTTTGATCCTGAAACTCTTACTTAACAATTAACAATGAACAAATCAAAGGTCAAATCATTTCATAAGACTAGAGGAGAAAAGGTTAAGGAATGACGGTGGAAATAGACCTTAAAAGTTCATTGTATAACAAATGGTCTTAATTATTCATTATCCTAATTTTTCTGTAAGTATGTAATAAGTATTCCGTTTCCAAAAGCAATCTAAACAGAAATAATTTACCTTCCGCATGTTGGTGATTCTGATATACTAGGTTGTCTACCCCTGTTTGACTGCATTGTTATAGGACTAGATGATCTATTACATGACAAACCCGTCTGAAGCCGAGAACCACTGGCACTAGGATAGCCTCCTTCTGACTGACTGTAGCCAATAAAGAGAATAAAATTTGTAAAAACATATTGATAAGTTGTTTTTCTAATACAATATGCACTATAACAACAAAATATAAAGTTATTCAAAATAATAAACAGAGCATGTTTTCAAGAAATATTTTTCTGCATCAAACATGATGGTGTTTATATGAAACTGCAAGCTTTAAATACTTGAATCAAACTTCTTAGCTGAATGACTTATGAACTTTTCTCCCTTACATCTAATATTGTGCAATAGAAGTGATATGGGTTTCAGTTCAAAATTTCTGAAAACCCTCAATTTAGCATTATTTTAATTGATTTTGTATACTAAGAGAGTGCTTTCAGCAGTATATAAAATCTAAACTTAAGGACGTTTTAGGGAGTTTTCATATAGACACATAGGTAAAATAAAAATTATTCTATAGAATTTCTTTAAACTTGGCATGTTGTTAGAATATGACCCCAAATTTTTTTCTGTTTAAAATGTCTGTTATCATATTCTTACAACATGCCAAGTTTAAAGAAATTCAAAAGAACAGGTTTAATTTTGCCTATATGTCTATAAGAAAATTCCTGGAAACATCCTTAAGGCAATGCCTAAAAACCTGTTCCCATGTAGTTGGATATTTGAAAATGCTTTCAAGGTAAGGGAGAAAATGATAAATTTGGCTTCACCCTTTTCAGTATAATAATAACAAGAGGGCCATGATGGCCCTGAAGTCGCTCACCTGTATATAGGCCCCCGTAGTGGGGCCAGTTTAAACCCCAGGGCTTTTATTTGAACAAACTTGGTAGACACCCATTAGAAGATGTTTCATGCTAAACATCTAAGGTCTAGCTGGTCAAGTTTTTTCTTTACACATATAGTTAAAAACAATGACACACCTTGGGCAGGGCCAGTTTGGACCCAAGGGCTTTTATTTGAACAATCTTTGTAGACACTTACTAGAAAATGTTTCATGCTTAATATCTGAACTCTAGTTATTCGGATTTTTCGAAGAAGATTTTTAAGTTTTTACTATACACATATAAGGAAAATCAATGACCCCCGGGGTTTGGGCCAATTTTAACCCCAGGACTTTTATTTGAAAAAACTTTGTAGACACTTACTAGAAGATGTTTCATGCTTAATATCTAAACTCTAGCTATTTGGGTTTTTTCAAAGAAGATTTTTAAGTTTTTGCTATACACATATAAGGAAAAAATCAATGTCCCCTGGGGCAGGGCCAATTTTGACCCCAGGGCTTTAATTTGAACAAAACTTTGTAGACACTCACTAGAAGATACTTCGTGCTTTTAATAATCTAAACTCTAGCTATTTGAGTTTTTTCAAAGAAGATTTTTTAAGTTTTTGTTATACACATATAAGGAAAATCAATGACCCCCAGGGCGGGGCCAATTTTGACCCCAGGGCTTTTATTTGAACAAACTTGGTAGACACTCACTAGAAGATGTTTCATGCTTAGTATCTAAACTCTAGCTATTTGGGTTTTTTCAATTAGAAGATGTTTCATGCTAAATTTCTTAGCTCTAGCTCTTTGGGTTCTTTAAAAGAAGATTTTTTAAGTTTTTACTATATGCATATAGGGAAAATCAATGACCCCCTGGGGCGGGGCCAATTTTGACCCCAGGGCTTTTATTTGAACAAACTTGGTAGACACCCATTAGAAGATGTTTCATGCTAAATTTCTTAGCTCTAGCTCTTTGGGTTCTTCAATAGAAGATATTTAAAGTTTTTTCTTTTGGTTGCCATGGCAACCAGAGTTCTGCATGGAATTAAATTCTTTGAACAATTTTCAAAGGTGACCACCAAAGGAACATTCCTGTGAAGTTTGGATGAAATTGGCTTAGTGGTTTATGAGGAGATGTCATTTAAAGTAAAAGTTTACGGACGCCGGACGGACGCCGGCCGAAAAGCGATCACAAAAGCTCACCCTGTCACTTTGTGACAGGTGAGCTAAAAATAGCCAATTAGATTAAATGATATTAATTGATAAAATTAGACAATTTCCAGCTAGCCATGGAGATTAAAGATGTCATTTACCTCAATATATCACCATGGTTGCCACTTGAAACAACTACTTCATCTTCACCATTGATGTAGAACAGTGGATGGTTCGAATCTACTACGCCACCACCGTTACTGCTTGTGCTACTGGAGCTCAACTTCCTCGGACACCCTCCCACACTGCCTAGACTACTTGTACTGTTGTTTAAATGTCTTCTTAGGCCACTTGAATATGTTTCTGAAATAAAATAAGAAGTTTTTAGTGAAAACAGCTCATTTATTTCCTTTTTATATAAATCTATAGGAAGATGCTAGTTTATGCAGTAATGCAGCCTTCAATAAACACTATGGACTATGTTAAACACCCTTATCTTTTTTAAGATGGCCGAATAGCTTCCCCACAAGAAAATATGAGCCGCATCACAACAAAACCAACATAATGGGTTTGTGACCAGCATGGATCCAGACCAGCCTGCGCATTCACACGGTCTGATCAGGATCCATGCTGTTCGCTTACCAACACTATCTAAAGTAGGGCAACTGATAGCGAACAGCATGGATCAGCTTGTCTGGATCCATGCTGGTCGCAAACAGACTATGTTGGTTTTGTCATGATGCGGGTCATATGTAATGTGATGTCCTTCTAGGCTGCTTGCGAGTGACAAGCAATACATAAAACTGCAATTGCCTACACAGGCCCGAAAAAATTATGCTATTGAGGCTCCCATAAATAAAGTATGGAAAAAGTACACACCTGGTTGCTTTAATGACCCCATTTGTGTCTGATAAAGAGCCTATGTACTTTGGAAGGACCTGAAATTAAACAAATATCTCAGAAATAAAAAGACAAAAGCCTATTCCTTAAATTTTTGTAAACAAAAACTTGAATTATATACAGCCATGTTTCAAAGGAATAAAAACAGGTTACAGCAATTGACAGTTTAAAACTATTTATTGACTTTTTAGTGCTTTGACTATCTGAATGCAGCTTGCCTATGCCATCTTTACCGAGTCAAACCAGCCTGCGCATCAATACCATCTGACAGACACAATTCTGTTAACTGATCAATATTAGTATTTTGATATTAAAATTCCTCCTAATACCAATGCGCTGTTCTCAAGTCCAATATACATGATAAAAGGTAAATAATCAGATGATATAAAAGTAAACATAATAAGGTGGATTGTACCAAAGGACTTGAACACTGAATAACGGAATATTTATGCGTCACAAATATTTTGCGAATGTCAAAAAATGGACTTTTTGTGTACAGATATATTTGCAAAAATATGATTTCTTGAATTTAATACTGATTCTGTGATATCATTAATTACAGGTACATAATAAGAATATGCCTTTATTGTTATCGTTCTATTCAGTTGTTTAATACCTTTATTATTTGTATAACTGTTTTAAATCTACACTGTAAGTTTGATCAAGGACCGGATCACACATTTTTTGTCATATTTTGAAACATTCTTTTGTTATATGAATAACCTATTGTGTTATTAACACATATATTACATTTATATACAATAATTTCAATTCCCCAAAATCGCAAATATTTCAATGTCACAAAATTAACCAGTTACATAGTTTAATTAACAGCGTTATGTTCAACACCAACAATATCTAAATATATTAATATAACATTTCATCAAAAATGCTAGTAATTAACATAAAATTTACATAATCAGTACAGGTCATATGGCGACGTTCCAGCTTTACTTATGAGGGAAGACCTCAGGTGCCCTTCCGTACATTATTTCAGGCTCAAAAGGGCACCTGAGTAGAACCACTGAAATTCCGTAAGCTAGCTGGATAGCTTCCTCACATGAAAATATCCAAAGTCCCTGAATTTTCGTATTAGAAAACTGTAAAACTGAAAAAATTATAAAGCACTTACCTTTTGTTATCAATAGAGTATTCTTCTGATGTAATATGAGACAAGAAATAGAAACAGAAAAATAATATCTGAAAATATAAAATAAAGTTATAATTAATTGATCATCCTTTAAAATCCCTGTTCAACACCTTTACCACAAAATTGCAATAGTTCTATTGTCACCACAGAGCTTTTGTTACATCAGTATAAATCATATTCAAATACCATGACAAAACCAACATAGTGCTTTAGTGACCAGCATGGATCCAGACCAGCCTGTGCATCCGCGCAGTCTGATCAGGTACAAGTAGAGAGACTGATAGCGATTATAACTTTGTTTATGGTACTATTCAATTCAAATTAGGTAACGGTCTGCTAATCATGCTTTAAAAACAACAATTCTAATCTTTTATTTGTCTAGATTGCAAAAATAAAAGTTACAATAAACATGTATGTTGAGAAAGGGCCCCAAATAATGGTGCTATAACTTATGACCAAACTTGATTTGTGCTGTAAATCATTTGTTAATTTACACAATGAGAGGAAGTTTTTCTTTTTAAAGTAGAAAATTGCCATCAATCACATTAGCAATCAAGAGTTCATGAAAAGCAATACAGTTTAATAATCCAAATATTTAAACAAAAGCTGTTCATAAGCCAGCTTGCTTGACTATTCTCAGTGTTAGACAGTAAGAAATGGGGTATAACTCTCTTAAAAGGTAAATCTGTTAGATAATCACAGAAAACATGTGTGTGGAGTTTCAACCAATTCTCTTCAATAGTTTGGAACATACTGACTTGCATGCAAAAACTTAACCAAAATGTGACAGCAATGCAAACTACTCTTCAAACAGTCCATCTAAAAATATATCTGCATATCTATAAATAGTATTTACTGACCTCCTCTCCTTTATTTAATCTGTCTGAAAGATTGTGCCTACAAACAAATCAAAATTATGTATCAACAATAATAAATGTCTTTTTATAATAATAATATTAACACGGAATACACTGTTAAAAACTAAAACACTTTTACATATCATCTTGCAGCAATCTTAAATTAGAATACTGTATAGCAAATAATATAAATGTTCAAGAACAAAATCTTGTTATTCAACATTAAACTGTTTACTAAATCACTAAAATCATTATCAACATTTCTTTTTAAAGCAATTGTCTTTAAGGAGTTTCTACTGTTTTTATCAATATTTGATATACTTATGATAAAATGTGCTCACAGAAGACCGATCTACTTTAATGTTTAATGAATGTATCTAAAAAAAACATATTATGTAATAAATAAATCACTCACCCAAATAAGTACCAGTCATAAGCTAATGTAAGATATACAATCTCTGTGGCTGTCAAAGATTTATGTATTGCACCATCAGCCCATAGAGAAAGTCTTAACAATGAAACAAACATTGGTGTCCGGTCCCAGCCAGAAATACAATGAACTAAAACACCTTTATCCCCTGAAACATGGAAACAGTAAATGAATCAAACATTGAAATCTGATCCTTTGAAACCTCAAATCAAAACTCTGTTATCACTTTATCAATTGGTAAAATGTCTGCAATGTAAGTTTTAGATATTTCTGACTATTTTCAAAGACAAAAACAACAACAACAAACAAACAGCAACACTGCATTGACCAGACAAAACGGACAATCTGAAAGTTAAATCTTTGCTTATTTCCAGTTTATTGAATGCACTACCCTTCAGAAGGGAGGATCAAGGTAACAGTTGCACTAGATTACATGGCAAATCATTACAGAATTTATATTTTATATATGCAAATGATGTCTTTTTTTTTAATAATATAACATTACATATATTACTAATGATCATAAATATAAGGTCATACCTTCTTTTAGTACATGTAACATCATTTTGAGGTAGTTTTGTGTAAGTTGTATAAGGTTCCAACACTGTAAATATGAAATAACTTACATTTTAATACAAATAAAGTAGAAACAGTGTCATACATGTAGAAAAAGGTGCAGATTAGAAACAGAGTTATTATAAAACTAAATATTTCTAAAAATAAAACAAGAGCAGTCCTTAAGACAGCCTGCTTGATTATTTTCAGTGCTTGCAGGGGTATTTGGATGATGGTCTTTCTTATTTCAAATATATAATGACGTAGTTTGAAAGAAATAGTGTAAGTAGTGCTAATAAATTAAGAAACAGCATCATGTTTTGCACATACAATAGTCAGTCTCTAACAATTCCAAAAATTATTTGACAATGGAATTTTGTGAAGAAACTGATAAGTTCATGGTAACTTTCAACCTAATGGAAACCATAAATTCCTATCCAAGCATAATTTCAGCAGGCACATCTATCAATCTTTGAAATTTTCACTGCACAGCTTTCTTAAAACGAAAAAAAAAGATCACAATTTCTGTAAGTTTCACAGTCAGCAACCTCAATGGCATTCCAAAGGTGATCAGTACATACCTTATATTGTGACCAGTCTATAGATAATTGTCTTAGCACTTCTGTTGGAGGAATATCTAAACAAGCATCTACATAACCCTGAATAACAAAACACAATTCTTCGGTTATTTATATTTCATGTCTTATGCATTTTTTTTCTTCAAAATATCATTACCAAATTTCACCTGTAAAAATATGTATGTTAAAACACGCAGAAATCCTAAAAGCATTTAACCTAGAAAATGTTATAAATAATAAATTACCTGTGTCCAGTCAAACTGCATTACTTCTCCTAAATAAGAGTTATCTTTCCATTCTTTAAAGAATTCACAACCTGCAAAATAATATTGAAATAATGTTGTTTATTGTATATGATAAAACATATTTACTTATCAACGTACAGTCAAACCTGTGGTCATAGACTAAAACTTTTGGTTTGATATGACCTTTACTGTGTTGGTGCATGTAAAACCCAAACAAACAAACAAATCACCACTTGTAAACAATTTTCTTATTTATATGTAACACTAGTCATACAGTTCTTATTGTGGAAAAATATTTAGTTAAACAACACTGGTAAACCTTTACTATATCAAACTTGTGTATAAGCATAACACCTAAAAAATCCCTTTAAGGTCTTATGATAATGGTATTGCTTGTAGAAGCTTTACCACATACATGTACATACATGTTTCAGTAAAACCTTTTAATATCATGGTTTTTGGTTCACTTTGAACATACAAAACAATTTATGGCACACCAACAAAGTTTAGGTAATATGGCGCCAAAACAGGAAAGATGATTTTGTCTAATCACAGGTGTTGCAAACTTACAGCAACACCAGGGGTAGAAACCACCTCACTTGCTTGACCTAAGAGATGCATGGACTCCAATATTTCGAGCCCATTTAGTCGCCTCTAATGATCACCCAGGGTTAAACAGTGACTGCAATTCTGATGCCTCAACTCATAAAGGCAACCCCTCCGCCTCAAGGGGCATGATTTAAGGTAATCTCAATAATATTTCAATATGATGTATGTTTTTATGTTGTGTAATTGTCAATGAAAGCTACTAAATATACAAGCAAATTCGTTGAATTTATATCCCCCGCCGAGTACTGGTTTTTATTAACACAACAACTGAAAACATGAGGCTTTATTTATATATTAATCATGGCATAAACAGTAATATTCTTTGAACTTGATAAATATTCAGGGCAATAACAGAGCCATAACTTTGTGTTAAATAGTAATATCTGGAAATGCCAATGAGATGTATGCATACTACATAACTAATCAATGGCCATAAATCTGAGTTATAAGTATCTGACCGGAACAAGGCGACTATATGCACATCTCCTCTTAGTATCCCGTAAAGTTTCATTGAATTCCAGCCAGTAGCACATAAACGATTATTGCTCTGGTTGTATACTGCCTAAGTTATCAAGGGTCATAACTCTAAGTTAAAATGTCTGACCTGAACAAGGCGACAATATGCGCATCTCCTCTTGGTATTGAAGGTTCCAATAAAGTTTCATTGAATTCCAGCCAGTAGTTGCAGAGAAGTAGCGAGGAAACTAATATTTTTCTACATGGATACTGCATAACTAATCAAGGGCCATAACTCTGAGTTAAAGTGTCTGACCCCAACAAGGCAATTATATGCCCATATTCTCATGGTATTGAAGGTTCTCATAAAGTTTCATTGAATTCCAGCCAGTAGTTGCAGAGAAGTAGCGCCGTAAAGATTTTTGCTCTATATGCATACTGCATAACTAATCAATGGCCATAACTCTGAGTTAAAGTGTCTGACCGGAACAAGGCGACAATATGCGCATCTCCTCTTGGTATTGAAGGTTCCCATAAAGTTTCGTTGAATTCCAGCCAGTAGTTGCAGAGAAGTAGCGCGGAAACAATTTTTTCTCTATATGCATACTGCATAACTAATCAAGGGCCATAACTCTGAGTTAAAGTGTCTGACCAGAATAAGGCAACGATATGCGCATCTCCTCTTAGTATTGAAGGTTCTCATAAAGTTTCGTTGAATTCCAGCCAGTAGGTGCAGAGAACTACTCCGGAAACGAAATTTGGACGGACAGATGGACGGACGGACAACGCCAAAACTATATCCTTCTCCCGATTCCATCGGCGGGGGATAACAAGTTACCTTACTAGTAGTTTATAATAATTTATCACTCTGTCATCACTTTGACTTGAGACTTATTGCAAAATGGCATAAAATAAGGACATTTCTGTTTTTCTATGAATTTTAAAACCCTGTAAATCTCAATTCAAAGTTGAGGATATTTTTCTTTTCTTGTTGAAATGATTGCAAGCAGATGAACCAAGTGAAATATAATTCATCTTGATAAAAATAAATATAAAACTACCTGGATAAGGCACAGAAACTATACAGAATTCTCCATATCTGTTTTCTTTATCAACCTTTTCAGAAGATGTCACACTGAAAGATAAATACAGAATTTTTTAGAATTTTAATCATTCCAAATGTATAATTGAGTTTCCCATATACATGTGTAATAGCTAACAATCTCTGTAGCCTAGTTATTTGTTTGATTGGGTTTTACGTCACTTGGACACAGTATAGGTCATATGGCGACGTTCCAGCTTTACTGGTAGAGGAAGACCTCAGGTGCCCTTCCGTGCATTATTTCAGGCACGAACGGGTACCTGAGTAGAACCACCAACATTTCGTAAGCTAGCTGGATAGCTTCCTCACATGAAAGAATCCAAAGTCCCTGTTATTTAGACTGATAACTGTGAAATACAGACTCCACTACACTGTTGGTTTGATTTGATTTTTTTATCCATTAGAAGGTATCCAGCTACCTTACTGAAGGTCATTAGCTCTATTCAGGAGCCTATCATAACCAAACATAGAACAATATTTAAAGGTTATATATAATTATCATGGATAGCAAAGAACTTCGAGCACATTTTTGATTATTTCATTTACTTGAAAACAACAATTTTATTTATACATAAATAAGTAAGGCTCCATAGTTTGATAATTACATAGTCTTATAGTCGTCAACTGATGCATTTGTATTTGATAAATCATTCTAGTAAAAGAAACGGATGAAAACAGATACAAGTATTTTCTTTTCTGGAACTAACTTTATTCCAAACTTCATTTGTATTTGATAAATAATTCTAGTAAAAAAATATATGAATGAAAGCAGGTTTTTTTTTCTTGAACTTACTTCATTCCAAACTTGACTTTCTTTTTCTCCACCATAAGGTCAACAATATATTTGACAGAAAATGTTTTTAATACATTTATATCCTGTCCTCTCACTCTATCAAACATTTGCATATCACTGAAAACCAAACAAAAACATATCTAACAAGAACAAAGCATAACATTGTTAGCTCAATCATGCCCACAGAATGTGTTCTCCAATACAAAACAAAATCCTGTACATTTTTATCAAATGACAGCTTTTCTTCTTTTTTTTTTATAAAAAATATTATACTATCTGCCTATGAAAAATATGCTAAGCATAAATGTGAATTAAAGATTCTATCTTATAAGGCATAACAAACATTTGTAATCTTAAGACACTATTACCATTACTTATATGAAAACATTCTTTAACTTGTAACCATAAAGTATGACATTGTAACCTATTAGACATTTTAACCACTCTTTATAAATAACTTAATCATTACTCTAAAATAACACAGAACATCACCTAATTAACTTATTAATAACTTGGAACAATACTTTATTCCTTATTAAAGCAGCATGCCTCCAGATTCTTGCTTATTTTCATACATATTTTGAAAATGATTTTTAAGTTTTGTTTTAATTGGGTTTTATGTCACACCGGCACATTATATGTCATATGCAACATTCCAGCTTCACTGGTGGAGGTAGACCTCAGGTGCCCTTCCGTGCATTATTTCAAGCCCGAAAGGGCACCTGAGTTGAACCACTGACGTTCCGTAAGCTAGCTGGATAGCTTTCTCACATGAAAGAATCGGAAGTCCCTGTTGGGATTCGAACCCACAGTGGTGAGGGGCAAGTGGTATGATTTTTAAGTGTCAACTGCAATATGTTAACAAAATGTCATCATATAATTAATAATTCATATTAATTGTTTGAAGTATCAAAGTACAGTTTACCTTTGTTCAGAGGAGGATGATACAGGTCTTGATGCTGTACTGGAACTTTGTTCTCCACCTTTTCAGTAATAAGAAAATGTAATTCAGTACATGTGTATATTTGAGCCGTGTCACGACAAAACCAACATAGTGCGTTTGCGACCAGCATGGATCCAGACCAGCCTGCGCATCAGCTCAGTCTGATCAGGATCCATGCTGTTCGCTTACAAACTCTATAACAAGTAGAGAAACCGATAGCGAACAGCATGGATCCAGATCAGACTGCGCGGATCCATGCTGTTTGCAAACCCATTATGTTTGTTTTGTTGGACGCGGCTCATTTGTATATTTGTTTTTCTATCATTTTTTCAGCCCTAATCTCCAAACTTTCCACCAAGGTACATTTTGAAACAGTCCTGACTCCATTATCATTTTATTTTGGACATGGCTATCAAAATTTGGAAATTGGTCAGCCAGCATTATAAAGCCAAGGAAAAAAACACCACAGATATGCAGGCTGGTGAAGGCAAATGCTTCGAAGTATCAGTTTCAATGGTGCAAGGATTAAATCTTAACTTTTCAATCTCACATCAATGACAGAACAAACAAAATTTAAAAACAACAACAACAAAAACTTCTTTTTTTAAAGATATCACTACTCAAAATATTTAAATATATGGAAATAAATGCACATGTATTATGTTAATATCTGAACAGATTGTTATAATATAAAGGATCTACCTGTGAAGATGAAATCAAGGCCAGATCTGCTGTACATTTCAGCGCCACTTGATACTGTTGCTGATCTACAGACATTCTATAAATAAAACAAGCTTTTGTCATATAGCAAAAAAGAGAAAAAAGCAAAATAACAAAATGTTTAATGTTAAACCTCATGCATTGTAATTATTTGAAAGTCAAACATTGTTGAATCTTACAGAATGTAAGGTGTATTAAAAACTTTAACATTTATGATATACATGTAATTCCATTTGTGAGTTGTGTTTGAAAATCATAAAATATACAGCAAGAAACAGGGAGAAAAAGCCAAAATAAAATCCTGAACTGCTCTAGTAATGACTGTAAACACTGGTAGAAATTTACACTACAGAATAGGCTGGTTAATCCTCACTCAGACTGAGTATTCTCCCTTTTATATGAGCCGCGCCATGACAAATCCAACATAATGGGTTTGCCACCAGCATGGATCCAGACCAGACTGCGCATCCACGCAGTCTGATCAGGATCCCTGCTTTTCGGTATCAGATTCTCTACTTGTAATAGGGTTGGTAAGCGAACAGCATGGATCCTGATGCTGGTCTGGATCTTTGCTGGTCGCAAACGCACTATGTTGTTTTTGTCATGATGCGACTCATATATACTTTAAAAGGAATTCGAATGACTCAGTGTGACCTTCACCTTGACACGAGGAAGCCAATACCTGCCATTATGCACATTGTCTCATAATTATTGTAGCCTTTACCTGCCTTTACCAAATGTGTTCTCTGGACATTGTCTCACTATTGTTAAACATGTTTTGGCCAAATAGTTTAAATCATTCTATTGACCCAGAGTATACAAACAGACAGACAACCAGGTGCATATGATTATAAGCTGTGCATATAAAAAAGGTTAAAATAAAGAGAACAAAAGACAAAATGAGCACATACTTTTCCTTCAAACAAGATAACTGGTATCACAAATCTTGACCGACATCTTGCAAATCTTGCCTGTTTGAAGATATTCTTTACTTTATTATTGTCATATATACTCTCTACCCTATGGAAACAATACAAACAATTTAAGATTTAAAAACTCAACAAGAGCTGTCGGTAGGACAGCAACGCTCGACTATTCTTAGTGCTTGATAGTAAAAAAAAAATGCTTGATACAGTTACCTCCTCCTGTTTACAGGTTGGGGTCATGATGGTGAACAAGTGTGCAAAGTTTCAAAGCCAAATGTCAATGGACTTTGAAAATATTTGAACTATTACAAAAACTTTAACGAAAATTCTAAGTCGAAAAAGGGGCATAATTCTGTCAAAATGCTTGATAGAGTTACCTGCTCCTGTCTACAGGTTGGGGTTATGATGGTGAACAAGTGTGCAAAGTTTCAAAGCCATATGTCAATGGACTTTGAAAATATTTGAACTATTACAAAAACTTTAACGTAAATTCTAAGTTGAAAAAGGGGCATAATTCTGTCAAAATGCTTGATAGAGTTACCTCCTCCTGTCTACAGGTTAGGGTCATGATGGTGAACAAGTGTGCAAAGTTTCAAAGCCATATGTCAATGGACTTTGAAAATATTTGAACTATTACAAAAACTTTAACATAAGTGGTTACGCCGACGCCGACGCTCGGGTGACTACAATAGCTCTACTTATTCTTATCGAATAGTCGAGCTAAAAAGGCTTAATATGCCCACCTTAAGAATTCACATACATGTATTTCATTGGTCATCTTAAAGAAATTAACTACAAGACTACATGATGGTGAGAATGTTTTTATGTCTATATCATTTCACTTACTCTGATTCAGTTTTCATAGATTTGTCCTTAATGAGTCATTTCAAATATAGTGTTTTTTGAAATGTAGGAAATACATGAACTTTATTTTAAAGACTAGAGATTATATGAAAAAAGTATGTCTAAAAAGTATACATCTACTAGTAGAATTAAAGTAGTTTACAAAACCAAAACAAGAGTAAGCAAATATCCATAATAATTCACTTCCTACCCAGTAGTCAAATTTTTTTATATAATTATATAAGAGTAACAGAATTCATAAAGACCTCTCTTTAACTGTAGATGATTTCTCATACTCGAGTATAGCTAATTTGCTGGGATAGTGTGAACACAAGTCTCCAGTTGTGTTGTTTATTACCTGTAATATAATCATTCATGTACATGTAATATCTCCTAAATATATGTAATCGTCACTACATCTTTTATATTCAATCACTGAATTTATGTCTTATAAAACTTATATAATATTTCAGTGAAAAGGGTGTACATTTTCATATGATAAATAGATGATACTGAATGAATGTAGATTTTAAAGATCCTGTATGTTTTGTGATTGATATTGTTACTGAGTGTAACCCACACTGGCAAAAAATTATATATGTATATAATTATGCAAATAAAACAATTTTCAAACATCGAAGAATATGTAAAATGTGTACTGCAAATATTTGTGCACATTATATTGAATCGATAAATTATATGCATTCATTTCTTATTGGAAAATTTGACTTAGAATTTATAGAAAATAAATTTCTAATTACCTCCTTTTATTTACATGAAATGTTAAATTCGGTAATATCTTTATACATAATGCTTAATGGAACTTACAATATTGACAAATCTTAATTTGAGCATCATATTTATGACATTTTTTTGTTTGTTTTATTTTGGGTTTTACGTCACATCGACACAGTATAGGTCATATCGCGACGTTCCAGCTTTACTGGTGGAGGAAGACCTCAGGTGCCCTTCTGTGCATTATTTCAGGCACGAACGGGTACCTGAGTAGAACCACCGACATTCCGTAAGCTAGCTGGATAGCTTCCTCACATGAAGAATCCAAAGTCCCTGTCGGGATTCGAACCCACAGAGGTGAGGGGCAAGTGGTTTGAAGTCAACGACCTTAACCACTCGGCCACGGACGCCCCTATTTATGACATAGAACCATGAAAAAATGTGTTACAGGATCTTTAACTGATTGAACATTAGTTGAATAACATATTATGCTCACCAGAGGCTCACGTAATATTGTTTTATTGAATATAATTCCACAAGTTCAATAAATTTAGTGTACACAAATATAACATTCTATGTATCGAATATCGAAAATAAGAACAGTATACAGTTAAATACATTAATGGGCTTTAAAGCTATGTTTGTATATAACGCTAATGATATCAGGTCAAAGTGTTATTACACTAGCGTAATTTTGGTTTATTACATAGCTTTACTACAATTTACACTTCTGTGCCATGGTTTATGTAATAATGATTTGTATTCATAATATTAAAACTTTAATCATTACTTATGAATGAAAATGAAAACAGCAATAATTATCTATATACATGTACTTACGGTAAACTGATAGTCTTTGGCAAATAACTTCAAACATTTGTCTGTCACTGGATCACCCTTGAAAATTAAAATGCGTAATAATCAGTAAGTCAAAATCAGTAGATAATAAAAGAATATAAAAAATCTCTGGGACAGATTGGCTTTTAGAATTGTAACCTTCATGTATATTTGACAGGCCCTTCAGAAGATTTACAGACAGTTCACCACACAAACACTTCACCTCAGGCCATGTTTTGCAGACGCTTCACCCCTCCAACACTTTACCCCTCAGACAAAATTTCAGGGGTTAATTGTCTGGAGATGGTTATCTTTAAGTGTATGCTCATTAAATTATATTTCCCACATCATGGCACATGTTTGTTTACGAATCATGACCACTTTGCTGGCACTCTTCACTTCTACACTGTGAAACAGAAAATTTTGTACAAATCTTTAACAAATGACATGACTTTGTGTACCTGAGTTTCAAACAACGAAACAGAAGGGGGCACATCCCCTTTCTGGCAACCCCCTGATGCACCTTTCATATAGGGGGTGGCGCCGAAAAAGTGATCACTTTTTTAACAACATTTCCCATATGAAAAACATTGTTTGGGGCCTATAAAGTAGTAAGGTACTTTTTTACTGTTTGAGGCCTCAAAAAGGAGGGGGAGGGGGTTGAAAAGCCGTCAAAACATGTCTAAATGAGGTAAAGGGTTAAGTGAATAGCCCGAGTGTTTAGAAAGATATGATCATCTTAATTCTGTATATATAGCACTTTTTTAACAAAAAATTATTGAAATTCATTCTAATTTTAATTCGTCAGTTATCATTAGCATTCATCACAATGGCTGGATGTAAATGATTTCAAGTCAACTCTTCCCATGGTCAACTTGTCACCTTTTTGGTCAACTTGTCCCATGGGTAACCAGTTCTTTGGTCAACTCGTCCCCTAACTCGTCCCCCTATTTTTCAATATTAATTCATTCTATGTAAGAAATAATATCGGTCTTAGCAGTGTTTATCGGCTATTTAACACCGGTTTGGAGATTTAATGCGTATAAATTGATTTTTTCGCATCAAAACGACAAAACCAGTGAGTTGAACTGTTGATGAGTTGGATGTCGTGCCGTTAGCAAACTGCATCTATTTGTTCTATTTGTAAGAAAATTTTGCTAGATCTGTGCACTACAATAGTTGGCGCAACACAGTGCCGAAAATCATCCAGGTGGGAAGCGTACGTTCTTATCTCTATGTTATTATGTTGGAAGTGGGTAGCCGTACGGGCACGTACGGCAAGCCAAAAGTTCTAGCCGTACGTGAGTCACATACAACTAGCAAGGACACACTGTATTGGCTAGCTGTACGGCATTTTCAAAATTATATGGAAGTCGAAAATGCATATGTTATTTTATGACTTTGAACGAGGATTTTAACCAAGAAACAGCAATTTTCTTCGTACATGTTTACTTTTACGAGATTAATCGTCTTGTTGGCTACAGTAAAAAAAAGTATGAATATGGATCTTTGTCATCTCAACACGTTGAGAAAAAATAGCGTTTGGTCACAGTTTAATAACATCAATTGAAATAGTTTGCAAAATTTTGATGATAATCCTTTTTTGTTTCATTAAGTTTAATTTTCGACACCTTTAATATAAAACAAAACAAACAAACGAAAATTATTGTTGTTGGGCTCTTATAATTGCGTCAATTACCGACGGTATAGAAGTTTGTCTAGACCAGGTACGTATATGTTAATATACGTACCTGTCTGGACTAATCAATTGATTGTGCTTTTTATGTTCGATATTTATCTACTGTATTCGAAAATTATAAATTATTTTTGCCTTTCATCGTTCTTTTTTTCAATACTCTTTTTATTTATTCCACTATTGACTCTGATCATTATTTATTCGATCCATGTGCTTAATTCACAAAAATTCATCTTTCATTCAAATAAAACAACAAATCATGATCATAAGGCACAAAATAACATATGCATGTTTGACTTCCATAAACGTGATTTTGAAAAGTGCCGTACGGCTAGACAATACAGTGAGTCCTGGCTAGTCGTACAGCTAGCCACTTCCAATTACCTTTCAGGTATTTTCTTTTAAACGTCAGAATAAACAAAATCCATGTACAAGATATGCGAAAAGGTCATTATAAAATTCAGAATTACCTGACGCACGGTTTGCAAAATAAATTTATTTATAGTGTGTTCAATAACGGATCAAGTAGGGGAGCCACTCACATAACCCCCAATTGTCTGTGAACATGATTGGTTTATACGTCGCGAAATTGTGTGACAAATACTGTTATGTTAAAATAAACGTTGTTACCTTAGAATCTCCCTTCACCCTATAAGAATTTTTGGAAAAATGTTCCAGTAGTGTATGTATTTCGTCTGCGCGAACAATCTGTTCGCTTTCGTCAATCATTATTTTTTCCTTCCGTGTTTGTTGGCAAATACGCCAACTTCCGGGGTAAACATTGAAGTAAAGAATAGGTTGTGGTTGACCTAATTTTATTTCATTTTGCAACATGTTTGTTATTGCAAAAACATTTTAAATTATGCATTACATATTGTTTAAAATATATATGAACTCATTATTACCATAATTAGATAAGGATGGTGTTCTTTTTTTCAGCAAGAAAAGTTTTAAACTATTCATTACTAGCTTTGGGAAACTAATCACGTGACATGTATACAAAATGGCGTCAGGATTATCAGAGGATGAATTTCATCGCATGCAGGTTGTTGACAAAATTGGGCATTGCCCTGAAATTGTTTTCAGAATATTTAGCAATGGTTATCATTACCATATGAAATGGTCTTATTATCAAACTGATTGCCAAAAGTTCTGATTGCATAAATGAAAAAAAGATCATTTGCATAAATTTGACACATCCCCCTTCATTTTCAACCAAATGATTATGATAAATTTTACAATGTTTACAATGAATTCCATGTATTTCTTTTCTTATAAAGTTAAATGTTCAGTTTCAAAGGTAGCCAAATTAATTCAGGGTGAATGGTTTGAACTATGTTACAGACTTTTATTTTCCTGCTGTCAATCTGTGGGAAAAAGACATAATTTACCCATACTGCCAGATAAAAGTTCTAGCCAAATATGAGTTGCATTCAGGAAGCCAATATGTGATATAAAAAATAAATTTAAAAAAAACCACAGTAGAAGACTTTACGAAATGTAAAGCAGTTGATCTTCCACTAATGTCAAACCCCTCACAGAGGTGTGCATGTCAAAATCACACAAAAGTTAAACAGAGTTGTTTAAAAAGAGGATAAAAGAATATTATAATTGTTAAAAACGGGACTGGAAAGCTAGGGTAAGACATGTTCAATGCATGCTATGGTTGCACTGAATTGGGGAAGGGAGAAGGGCAATCGCAGGGGGTAGGTGGTGCCATATAGGTATACCGTCCTAGGAAAGAATGAGAATTTAAAAACCTGTGATGATTGGCATTTGTTTTTAATTATGAAAATAATAATGAGTTTGTTACATGTATTTTGGATGGTCCAGTATTGGGAGTCACAAGATTTTTTTTTAGTTTTTCTTAAACAGGCTTAAATAATAATATATGATACATGTATATATATATTTTTTTACCAATGTCTCATATTACAAATGAGCATACCTCAGGGTGTATTTTTAGTCCACTGGGTCTTGCATTTATATATATCCCCGTACTGCCTCTTTCCGATCAGCTAACAGATTTTCCTACAATAACTGACAGTGAAATTATATTAAAAAAATTTCTCTTTCAATTCTGCAAATATTATCATTTTAGCTAATAAATGCACCAACTTTTTAAAATTTTACCTGAATTATTATTATGAATCGAGGACAAATCATTACTGACCCATTTTCCTGTTCTTCAAAATTTCACAACCACTTTTCAATCAGTTAACAAAATATAAACTGTACCACATAAAAATTGTCATACAATGTTAAAATATAATCAGTTATGAATTATGGAGAAATTTTGACAAACTCAACTTCAGATAAATGGTAATAAACAATTTTAACCTAATTATAATGCCATTTTTTAATCTTGATATCTATTTGCAGTGGTAAAGCTGTCACAATTAGGGTATGGATGTACATTTCAATTTGCATAACAGAAAAAGCATGTTCTCGAGAAATTTTTAGGATCTTAAGGTCTATATGACACCATTCTAGTGACTGCTTACTGAAAAGTTATCAGAGATAATGTTTTTCCTTGTTTAAGTGACTGTTACTTTACTGATGTATTACCTTCCAATTAAGAATTGTATGGTAAAATATGTACATATTAAAATTATAGCTTTTGAAGTGCAGTATATATTATGACTTCAAGATATTGAAACAGTTGTCCAACTTAATATCCATTTCAGCAGACTGACAAAAAACTGAGTCTGTAAATCAATTATTTTTAGAAAATTATTGCGATTTGTAACTGGCTAAATAAAGGATTAGTGGAAAACACACATTTCACATATTTTGAACTAAAATGCTAGCATTTTCTTTTTTATCGCCATAATTGACATTGCTGCTCATAAATGTAGTCAAGGTGAATGCAAGATGTGCTTACACTTTGGTTACATGACAAATAAGGTCAAAAATAAAAAAATTCTAGGGATGATTGAAAAGTGGTTGTGATTGAAAACTGGCAGTATGTGGATATTTGATGAATTTATTGGTCATGTTTTAAATCATTCATACATTTTATTTCAGAAAAGTCATCTGTTTGTTGCTGTTTCAGTTTTTATCTACAGTGATATTTTGTTCTTGTAGCTTCTTTAACTGTTCAGTATTCACTATTGATAATGATATTTGTTAATATCAGCGCCCCTCACTTTTGTTAATGCTTCGCATGTTGAAATTGTCATAGGTGTTGCTAGTTCAGATGTAACAGGTGTATGTTTCTTATCAGAATTCTGACTTTTGAACTTGGCTATACTGCCTGTTCACCAATTTTATTAAGCAATAAAACATTAACAAATGTTTGAAAAAACAAAGTTGATGCCATGTATGTTTACTACTAAAAAAATGTCTTGAAAGTGCTTCAGAAGTCAATTACAAAATTTAAACTTGGTATTCAGACAGACATCGATGGGTGCATGTAAGTATAAGTTTCTCTTAAAGAGTTTTTATACAAAATGTATACATGTGAGTTTTGGTTTTATATTTGCAGCTACAACTTATAGAGTTGAGAACAGCTAAGTACGAACTTGAAGCTACTAATAAGAAACAAGAAAGAGGTAAGACTTAACTTCTTGACATCCAAACACTTGTAATAATTTGTAATTTTTTTACACATTATAATGCAACAGAAATATTATTTTTCATAGTACCCTTTTCATGAACATCTTGTATTAAGACTTGCTGTTTGATAAGATATGATATTATGTCATGGTGGAAAAAAAGAATCTATATCTTCAGATGAGCCAAAATATTTAAAAAAAATCAAATTAAGAAAAAGAACTAAACTTTTAAGAAAAGAAAAAAAGATTCAAAATTTAATTATAAATTTACATGATATGTGATTTTGCAGTATATATCACCATATTTATACAGTGTGATTTAAACCCAGTAAGGGTTATTCTTGCATATTTTGACCCTTTTTTATTGTAAGTGCCTTTTGCAATGTATAAATTACTACCTTTGTTTCCTTCACAATATTTTACTTTTAAATACATTTTTAAAATTTTCATGAAAACTTGCATGAATCTGGAGGCATGCTGCTTTAAAGTTTCACATTATATAATAACAAAATTTCCATCCTGCCACCTATTTTGTATACATCAAATAAGAAATGTTAATAGCTGTTACTCACAATATGAATTATCTTATTTTTCTAACATGAAATGTGAAAGTTATCTTGGAAATTATATATAAATATTGTTATATAAAATGTTTGACCATCTTTTTGCTATTAATAGAAATCCAGAGTTTAAAAGATGCTGCTGAAACATCAGAGAAAGAGTTGCAGAAGGCACAGAAGGTAAATACAACATTATCTTCCTACTATCACCTATCTGCCAATGAAGTTAATAGATCTGTTTTTCATCTTTGACCTAACAAGACAGGTTGGAATTTCTTATTAGCTTGATTATTCGAAGAATAGTGCTGCTGTACTATTTCACCCAAGCATAGGTGGCAGCATTACATGTTGGTTAATGATTTATATGCAACTTCTTGTACAACATCATATCTTATCAACTATTGAAGATATTTTCTAATTACTTCACACACTTTTTTGAGATCATAATAGGTCACTGTTTAAGGTCCATAACTTTTACATGGTTTTTACCGAAATAACGGCGCTTTGTGAATTCAGAAAATTTCTGATGAAAGTTTTGCCTGCATCATCTACACTACTGAAAGTTTTCTCTTGAAACTTAGAAAATGTCTTTAGACAATTGTTGGGATCATAACCTCCCAATGCCCATAAAAGGTATACATCTTGGCATGAATTTTGAATCTTCAAAACTACTGAATACTGTATATCCACTTGAAACTTAATACATATCTTCATGATCATAATTGGGGGTCACTGTAAAAGGCCCATATCTCTTGGCTTGAAATTTGAATGAAATATGGCCCTTTGAAAAACATATAAATTTCTTTGGTCCATATCCAAGACTTCTTATAACTTATGTATTTTTTTTAATGAAACTTTATTTTTTGTTTATTGCTACATTAGCCAGGCCATTGTTTTCAAGTTCCGAGACTATTCAAGTGTGCTATATACTGACAGCTCCTGTTTTATATGTTCTTATTTTACATGAATATATTATTGTTATAAAGAGATTTTGAAAAAGTGCACAAGCAAATAAAAGGTCTAGGGTCTGGCTCTAAAAAAAGATAGGTAGAGATAGAGAACTTCACTGGTAGTGCGAAAATATTTAAGAATTATATTTTACATGCATGTAACATTTTGCTAGTTTAGCCTTTTGTTACAATTTTAAGAATATAACTTATAAAATGTAAAATTCCTGTAACAGAAAGGAGTTTAATTACATTAATTCTTATTTACACATGATTTTCAATTTCACTTGAAAGTATCTTAAATAAGACTCAAACCAATATGCCAAAAATTGACCTAAAAGATTCTGTATTTTGTATTTTTTTGATAGTAGAGAGCAAATATTGTAAAATCAATATGATACAATGCATTGTAATATTTAAAATTTTACAATTTGTGAGTTTATTGTTTTTACACTCAATAATTTTTTGAATATATTGATGCACAAATAAATGTATTTTCATGCTTAAGTTTTAATTATAACTGTTTTTATGATATATTTACAGGCCATCAACAAGAGCAAGAAAGCAAAGGTTTGTACATGATTTTTATTTAAACTTAGGTTATTAATATGTAAGTACATGTACTTGCTCACCCTCAACAATTAACTGAAACTACAAAGTTTTTGTCACTTATCCTTCCTAATCCAAAAGTTTTTGATTTTTGAAGATCGACAAAAGACAATGAATGTTAAGTAGTTACGCCTCTGTTTCAACGATCTTTTGTTGTGTTTTATTATATCAGGAGGTGGAAATGTTGTTGCAAGAAGCCGATAACTTACAAATGAAGTTACAAAGTCAAGAAGATGATTTTAGAGTGCAGAATCAAACATTAATGCAGGAACTTACTAATGTAAGTAAAAATTGCAATCTTTATATGTATTTATATTTTAGCCCGATGTAGGTGATATACTTTGGTTAAGTATTTACTCGCATGTTGGTATCTCAAAAATTACTGAACTGAATGGTTAGAAACTTCACACACTTATCTGAGAGCATAGTAGGAGGTCATTCTCCTAGGCTCATAATTTTGACATAGATTTTGACAGAATTATGGCCCTTTTTGAACTTACAAAATTTTACGTTATGCAGGCTCTTGTTTTACTATCAAACACTGAGAACAGTTGAGCATGCTGTCCTACTGACAGCTCTTGTTACATTAACTTATGCTACACTCATCATGAAAGGTAATTGTTTTCATTCTTTTGTAATATTTTATTCTTACACATGAAAAAATATCTTTTTCTTCATATTTACATTTCTTTCTTGTTAGCTCACCAGAGCCGAAGGCTCAGGGTGAGCTATTAGTATCAAAGGGGGATGCTCCGGCGTCCATCGTCCGTCGTCATGCGTCAACAATCGTCTTCTTCTCTGAAACTACTGGACAGATTTACTTCAAATTTTGTTTGTAGCATCCTTGTGACAGTCACACTTGAATTTGCTCATGTCCTTCCAATTGGCCCCTTTTAGGGGTCAGCAGAGCTAAAAATAGAAAAACCTTTAAACATCTTCTTCTACAGAACTAATAGATGGATGATCACCAAACTTTGTCTGTAGCATTCTTGGGTAGTGTTTTATCAAGTTTGCTCATATAAATTTGATTGGCCTCTTTTAGGGGTCTCTAGGGCTAAAAATAGAAAAACCTTTAAACATCTTCTTCTACAGAACTACTGGATGGATGATCACCAAACTTTGTCTGTAGCATTCTTGGGTAGTCTTTTATCAAGTTTGCTCATATTAATTTGATTAGCCCCTTTTAGGGGCCGCAAAAGCTAAAAATAGAAAAACCTTTAAACATTTATTTCTACAGAACTAATTGATGTATTATCACCAAACTTTGTTTGTAGCATTCTTAGGTAGTGTTTTATCAAGTTTGCTCATATTAATTTGATTGGCCCCTTTTAGGGGTCTCAGGGGCTAAAAATAGAAACACCTTTAAACATCTTCTTCTACAGAACTACTGGATGGATGATCACCAAACTTTGTCTGTAGCATTCTTGGGTAGTGTTTTATCAAGTTTGCTCATATTAATTTGATTGGCCCCTTTTAGGGGCAGCTAAAGCTAAAAATAGAAATACCGATAAATGTCTATTTCTAGAGAACTAATTGATTGATTACCAAACTTTGTCTGTAGCATTGTTGGGTAGTCTTTTATCAAGTTTGCTAATATTAGTTTGATTGGCCCCTTTTAGAGGTCTCTAGGGCTAAAAATAGAAAAACCTTTATACATCTTCTCCTACAGAACTAATTGATGGCTGATCTCCAAACTTTGTCTGTAGCATTCTCGGGTAGTGTTTTATCAATTTTGCTCATATTAATTTGATTGGCCCCTTTTAGGGGCCGCTAAAGCTAAAAATTGAAATACCTTTAAATGTCTATTTCTAGAGAACTAATTGATGGATGATCACCAAACTTTGTCTGTAGCATTCTTAGGTAGTCTTTTATCAAGTTTGCTCATATTATTTTGATTGGCCCCTTTTAGGGGCCGCTAAAGCTAAAAATAGAAATACCTTTAAATGTCTATTTCTAGAGAACTAATTGATGGATGATCACCAAACTTTGTCTGTAGCATTCTTAGGTAGTCTTTTATCAAGTTTGCTCATATTATTTTGATTGGCCCCTTTTAGGGGCCGCTTAAACTAAAAATAGAAATACCTTTAAATGTCTATTTCTACAGAACTAATGGATGGATGATCACCAAATTTTGTCTGTAGCATTGTTGGGTAGTCTTTTATCAAGTTTGCTCATATTATTTTGATTAGCCCCTTTTAGGGGCCGCTAAAATTAAAAATAGATATACATTTAAACGTCTATTGCTACAGAACTAATTGATGGATGATCACCAACTTTTGTCTATAGCATTCTCGGGTAGTCTTTTATTAAGTTTGCCCATATTAATTTGATTAGCCCCTTTTAGGGGCCACTAAAGCTAAAAATAGAATAATAGAAAAAAACCTTCGAACATCATTTCCTACTGAAATAATTGATAGATGATCACCAAACTTTGTAGCATTCTTAAGTAGTCTTTTATCAAGTTTGCTCATATTAATTTGATTAGCCCCTTTTAAGCTAAAGCTTAAATACCCCAGGTCATGGCATTTCTTCAAATTATTGTTTAAACATATTCTATGCTCAAATTTAATATTAGAATATATTGACATTCCAACACTGGAAAGCAGTTGTTTCTGGTGAGCGACTCAGGGCCATCATGGCCCTCTTGTTCTAATTATGTGCTTTATCTTGAATAATTAAAAAATTATTGGTTATAAAAGTGACAATGACTTGACTATGATGTATTGTTTATCATTTTGTTTAAATACCAGCTTGTATCAAGCAATGAAGACTTAGAGAAACAGTTGTCTGAGTTAAAGGAGAACAAGGGAGGTAATCAAGGAGCTAGTGAGGTGTCGTCACACTTGGAGGATGAAGTACGAAGGTTACAGGCGCAAAATGCTGCTTTACAGAAGAGTTTGTCAGGTAATTGTTCTGTATTTTATGAAGTTAATCACTTAGCTTTAATTTTAGTTTGGTAAAAGTAACGGTATTAATTTTTTGCCAGAAAAAATGTTCTTACACCATTGAAAATATAAGAAGCCAGGATATAAAATAAAGAAAAACAAATGTTTGTGAGAGTATGATGATTCTATTATTTTGTGCTATTTTACTGTGAGAAAATCTTACTGTAATCATAGTATTCGCCCATGTTTATGTTGATGATTTAATAGATACATGGAGGACACCTTGGGTGTCTATCTTAATTCTTATGCTTCAAAAAGTAGATCTTATGCATTACATATTCATGGTTGATTTAACTATTTACAAGTAAAAAGATATATAATGGTATCAAGAATTAATCAATTAGTTATTCAGTTATTAAAAATAAGTAATGAGACAAGTTATTAAAATCAAATTTTGTGATAAATCCTCTGACTTAAAGTGCTATTTTTGAACCATAGAATATTGAGTAAAGATCAACATTTAGATTATTGATTACATGTTGACACTTTAGGGTGTAATTTATTTTAAGTATTAAATGTTTTATTGACCAACACATTAATATATGTTTAGAAATGCAGTCCAAGACATTAAGTAAGAGTGAAAATGAAGATGACAGTGAGGCTGCAGAATCAGTGACAACATCTGATGGTAAGATACATTTTGTTAAGATACATGTATATGTAAAATGATTAAATGAATAATGCATATACATGTATATAAAAATTTACAATGAAATAAGTGTTAAGTTTGATTTTAAGCAATGACTGTTTTATTTGATTTGATGCACATGGAAACTTTGTGCTCTGTCACTCTTAAATTAAGTTTTAAACAACAGCCATCTGTCTTTAATTTTATAGGTCATTTGTTGCAAAAAAATTGATGAAATACCTACTTACTTGTCCCATCAACATATTTATTCTTATTTGATGTCCAAACATACATGTATGTAATGAGGGCATCCATGTAATTTAGACACATCTCTGGTCTTTAACTATTTATACATGTACTGTACACACAAAGTATATTAACAGAGAAGAAAGCATGCATTAATGGATAAAGTCAGGCAAGCTTGCACCGATATTGTAGGAATTTAATATGCATGATTTCACAAAAGGAAATTGTCAACAGACATCACACTCCTGCATTTAAAGCAATATGAGACAGGTCTCCTTTCTTAAAAAAGAAAAGATGGAACTCAAAACTACCAAATCATGCATATAGTTCTATGCCAGAATAATGCTAAAGCACCTGTTTTTGATTTTTTGATGCAATAATGTCTGCAGAATACCTCAGACTGTATTTGCTTTAAATGTGTCTTTGTGCTTCTGCAGATGTATGTGCACAAAGATGGTGTATTAACCATATAATATAAATATCCAAGGATTCAAAAATTTTGATACCATTTACTATAAAATACAGTCAGATAGATTAATTAAATCAGATGTAAAATGTAAGCTTTTGAAAACATGTCCGATGTAAAATGTAAACTTTAGGATGTAGGAATTGCGGAATAGTACCATAATGTGGATAAAACTGTAATACCACTTTTCCAGCACATGCTAGTTATTTGAAGAAAAAAAAAAATAAAAAGAAACAGTATTATAAGATTGTATTTTCTAATTTTTAGGTAACATAACAGATGTTGAAACATTACAGAAAAAAATTGATGGTAAGCAGTGTTTCACAATATTTTTCTTGTCCTTTAGTTTAGTTTATTCCAATCAATGATTGTAAAGTATTTTAGGAAATGTAAAAAGCTTTTAAATTATACATATGCAAGTATTATTTTGCACAATTTGTATCAATTTTCATACACAAGTAGTTTGTACTTGTAAAAATCCATGAATTGATGCACTGGCCCTTTAATAATAACAATCTTTAATCAATAATTTCTGAAAATTATCAAAAAAATATAGAAGTGAAAGGTTAATAATTTGAGAATATTTAAAGGGTTATATTTGATGTAAAAGCATGATTTTAATGTGTAATGATGCATGTTTGAAAAAAATATATTAGGGGAAAGGTACTGATATAAGAATTGAAAAGCAAAGTAACCATAAGCCGGCTGGCAGCTCTTTGACCAGGGCAGACCAAGATCAGCAGGCACCTCTGCGCACATGGTCTGCATTTTTCGCTATTCAAACACAGTGTTTCTTTTCCTTATATAACTGATACCGGAAAATGGCACCGTTCCCAATAGAAAATAGACAGCATCCGTGCAGTCTGATCAGGATCCATGCTGTTCGCTTAAAAACCCTATAACAAGTAGAGAAACTGATAGCGAACAGCATGGATCCTGATCTGACTGCACGGATGCGCAGGCTGGTCTGGATCCATGCTGGTCACAAACCCATTATGTTGGTTTTGTCATGACGCGGCTCATATGTACATGCACTGGTATATGTATGACACATTTAATTAGGTAACAAATTTATCATACTTTATCATTAAAGAATAATACTTTACTTTATTTTAGAACTGAAGTTGAGTGTAGACACTGAGGCTGAAGAAAAGAGGATGATCAAACAAAAACTCTCAGAAAATGAGGTAATAAAAGTTAATATTCAAGTCATTATGAAGGAGTGTGTAAGACATTTTTATTTTTTAATAAATTTGAAACTGCTGCTCTGCAAGTTTTGTGAAAATTTGTTTATTAATACAAGAGTTTAACTCCTTTTTTTTGGAAATAGTACAAGACTAGTGTGGATAAATGAGTTTATTTCAAAGTTTGATCAACCAGCACCCTATTGTATAAACATTGGTTAAAGTTGCATGTAGGGACTGATATTGGTTAGTTTAACCAGCAGTTAATTTTAACCATTTTGGTTATCTTGGTTTAATATAAACCATTTTGGTAAGTTAACCTTTTGGTTATCTTGGTTTATACAAGTAACTAACAAAATAAGTTTGTTAACCAAAGTTCATACAATGTGTGCTGATGGGAATTATGTTATCAATATGGCATATTAAGAGTTATGGCATGTTAAGAGTTGCTGTTGCTGATTGTTTGGTGGAAGAGTTAATAAAGAGATAAGAGGTTATCTATTTAGTTGTTAAGAGTTTCTCTCAACTTAAGTTTCATTGATTAGAGTTTTTTTTGTTTGTTTTATTTTTTTAATTAAATGATTTAATGCTTTTTAATAAAGGAGAGCCATAAAGAAGAAGTTAAAAGTTTGAAAGATGAATTAGAAAAGGTATTAAATTGCTTATTTTTCATTTTCATTAAAAAAACCCAAAACAACACCAGTTATAGTACACCACAAACTACAAAGAAAAGATAATATGATAAGCCTCAGTTATTGTACTTATCAATACTTTACAATCCATTATTCAGAACCTTTACATACATTATAGTCTGGGGCGTCCATGGTCGAGTGGTTAAAGTCGTTGACCACAGGGACTTTTGATTCTTTCATGTAAGAAAGCTATCCAGCTAGCTTACAGAACGGAAAGGCACCTAAGGTCTTCCTCCACCAGTAAAGCTGGAACATCGCCATATTACCTATACTGTGTCGGTGTGACGTAAAACCCAATCAAACAAAAACATTATAGTCTAATCAGAATGTATATGTATATACATTGATGCTAAATATATGCACTTTAATATCAAATTTCCCTATACATGTATTTACAATGAATATTTCCAATTTAAAAGCATGACTTTTCCACTTTTTCTATGTAGAAGTTAAGGGTTATAAAACACAAATTTTTTGTACTGATATTTATATACAGTAAGCTCAACTTATAACAATACCTCTTTTTAATGATATAATGCTTATAATGATACTGTTGCCATGGTCCTAACACTTGTTTTCATATTGGTTGCCTCTCGGATATAATGATATCCAGTTATAACAAATATAAGCCGGGTCACGACAAAAACCAACATAATGGGTTTGCAACCACCAGCCTGCGCATCCGCGCAGTCTAATCAGGATCCATGCTGTTTGCTGTCAGTTTCTCTACTTGTTAAGGGTTTGTAAGCGAACAGCATGGATCCTGATCAGACTGCGTGGATCCATGCTGGTCGCAAACCCATTATATTGGTTTTGTCATGACGCAGCTCATATAATTATAGGTGGTCCCCTAAATATCATTAAAAGCTCAGTTTATTGAAGGAACCTAATTAGCTTGAGTATTTTTTCATTCAAAACATACTATTGTAATTGTTTCTTCTTAAACTTTGTAAATAAATGTTTTCTTCCAATGTATTACAGTTGACTGAAAAGTTAAAAAAGAAGCAAGAAAGGTAGGAAAAAGTTTAGACACCATTTTTTAGCTCGTCTGTTTCAAAGAAAAAACTGGGTTATTATGAATGTTGCCTAATCGTTGTCTTTGTGCAAAAACTTTAATATAGCCCATTATTTAAACATTTCAAAGTTGTCAACATGAAACTTGGTATACTTGCTTATCATGACAACGTGAAGTTTTTAGACAAGGGGCATAATTCTGAAAGCAATATTTTTAGACTTGTGCCCTTTTTTTAACTTAGAATTTTTACAGACAAGGCAGTGCATATTGTGTTCATTATTGTAATCAGATAACGATACCTTATAACTAGTAATATGTAAGATAAGCTTCCTTATAGCAATAAGATGAAACTAACGATAAATTATTTTGCGTGTATGTTGGACTTATTTATTTAAAGTAGATATATAAACGTTATTTTGAAAACAAGTTTTTTGCCTGCTTAGTCTCCAGATTTATCGGTAGAGTTGTGATTACTTTAATGATTTTTTTTTGTCTGTCATGATTTTAATTTCATGTTTAACCTTTCGGTTTGACATTTTCATCACATTTTGTCTTATTTTATTTCAGTTATGTGCAGTTACAAGGAGAAAAAGAAAGCTCTTTCAGAGATCTAAAGTAAATATTCAGACTGTCAAATCTATAAAAATTGTAATAATCATAATGTTGCATATAGTCCCACTCATTGGGTTTGTTTTAAATTTGATTACTTGAATGAATCTCTGGTATTACATTTTATTTCAAAATTTAAACTGTTTGTTAAAGAAAATGGAGATAATCATTCAAATTTTGTTGATGTCGCTAGCGTAAGGTATTACCTTTAGAACGTTTTTGGGAGTTTTCATATGGACATATAGCAAAATAAAAACTGTTAAATAGAATGTCTTTAAACTTGGCATGTTGTTGGAATATGATAACAGAAACATTTTAAGTGAAAAAAAAAAATTGGGGTGACCATTCTCATTTTTGCATTATCTGCCCTTGAATTGGACATTTTTGCTAAATTCAAGGGCAGATAGTAGGTTGAGATATATAAATATTTCAAATCCAACAAAGACTGGTTTTAACCTTAACTACAAATTTGCTCCTAACTATTCATTGGTTTGATTACTTCTCACAAGTTCTACTTAATAGAAAGAGCATCAAAACACAAGGCTATCTGATTTTTACGAGGGGGTGTAGCCCCCGAGTATTTATCAGATAGCCGAGTGTTTTGATAATCTTTCTGTTATGTATCATAGTCAAACATAAAAACACGCTCCCTATTGTCACAATATGAATTCCTGGAAAAAGTAACCAATGAACGAGCATCTGAATATGATATTTCTGTCGCTTTCCCTTTCTCTGTGATCACAATAAGTAAACCCCAGCAAAAATGAGCCAATCATGGGCATGCTCAGCCTCTGGAGTGCAGGTAACTAATACTTGCACTCCAGTAAAAGCACTGTGCATGTGTTTGTACGAGTATTATTATGATTAAAGTCTGACATATTTTGACAGAAAGGTCCCCAAACTATGATACACATAACATATTATACCACTATAACACATACAATATCTTTTATATAAGAAACATTATAAATGCATTATACTCTGCTATATTTTGCTTTATTGTTCTTTATATTGTGATGTTTATTATACTTATAGTGCCAAGCTGATAGAGTTACACTTCAGTAAGGACAGAGATCAGAAATATTACACTGATCAGATCTCCAAACTACAGCAAGAGATTGCCAAATATCAGAAGGTAGGTGAATAACTATATACTATATTCTGTCATTATATTATTGGCCTTCTAATTTTCACACATAGAAGGTAATTAGGTTAATTAAGAAATAATATCGGTCTTAGTGGTGTTTATCTGCTATTTGACACCGCTTTGAAGTTTTGATAGGCCTGAGTGGTTAATTTTTTCGCATCAAAATGACAAAACCGGTGATAAAAAGCAGATAAACACTGCTAAGACTGATATTATTTCTATTCTAACAAGGTAAAATAAGGAAGATCACTATTCTTATTTTTTCAAGCGGAAATAACTTCCGGTGATGTTTTTGTATAACAATAATTGATTTCGCACCTTACTGTTGCTAAGATATAGAAATTATTAAACAAAAGAAATAATAAGAAAAAGTTATTTTATCAAGTTTTCAACAATGAAACCTTACGTCTTAGACTTGATTGTTTTGTGTTTACATCAATGCCCAATTTATCGTTCTTGTATGTTTGAAATAACATCATTTTAGCCTGTTTATGAATGAGTTGTATACTTAGGATGACGTCATTACGCTGCATAAGGATTGGCACCGTTTTGTCAAAATATTTATTAACTGATATGGATCAAATCTGTGGTGTTAATGTATGTTAGATATTATTTATAATCGATATATATAATTATAATAATGTATTTATTTTTGTTATATATCTATAGGTTTTCTGGTGAAAATACATTCATTTTCGACTGAAAAATAATGAAAATCTGTATCAGTATTCATTACTTTGAAATTCATTGAGTGGCCTGAGTTATGTGTCAAAGATAATGACATACTACTTGTGTGTTTTGCCTTTGAGCATGTCTATGTTATTGGAGTTTGTTGACCATGGAGGGAAAAGTCAAATGTATCGATTAAGATTGATTGATCTGTCAAGCATGTCAAAACATTGATGTTAATGCAATAAAATTGCAAAGAAAATTAGAATTACATATTATATATCTTACAGATTTTAAGATGTATATTATATTTATTATTTCATAATAAAATGAAATAATATAAAGTTTCCAAAATTTAAATTTGAATCATGTTTTTGCTTCATTATCAGTCTAATAATGTGTTTCATCTTGTTCACATGATCAATGTTGTCAAATGTATTCAAACACATCTCATAACAGCATTACAATAACTAGGTGCTTCTTGTTCAAATGTATGTTAATATGCATGTAACTGAAGTTATACAGAATATAATGAAAATATAATAAAAGGAAATTTACATGAACATGCTACTAAGATGGATTCTGTTCCTCTTATTGATTGCATAAACTTGTGTTCCGATTTGTTGTACAGCCTTGTGAGAATACAACTTGACGCAATCAGTTCCAGCGATACAAACCATCAGAATAGTACATTCATACAATTTTCCTTATATTTAACTTTCCTGTATATTTTAAAACTAGTATTGTTAATCACTGCCTCTTATCTGCTTGATAATGATGACAATATAGATCTGTATATGTTTATTGTCAGATACAAGACGAGATTAAGAGTAATTCAGATCAAGCTATTAAACAACTACAGAACAAAATGGCTCAGATGCAACAGCAGGTAACCATAGTAACAGTATAACCCCATATATAGTAACAGTTTTATATGATTTTATTTAAAAATTATGCACAATATCTGGATATTACATTGAATTCTCAAGAAAACCACATTAGATATACATTTATAAGACTAGTGTGTATTTATCTTCATTAAAAAATGATAACAAATACATGTTGTATTGTAAAATGTGATTAATAAATTCATTCCTATTGTAAAGTCAAACATATCAGAAATTTTGTTGAAGAATCAGAATTTTTAATTTGTTAATTTGAGAATTCAGTGAAAATGGGGTGGGGATTTTTTTTTTTTTTTTTTTAAGTTTTTTATTTAACAGAAAAGAGATACTTCATGGTATTGTTAAAGTACTAGTAAAAAAGGCTTTGTTCAAAATAGTTGTAATCGTAGGAAATAATAATTGTTACAAATATACCTTACCAGGCATCCTTTCTACCAAAGATTTTATCCTATTTGTTACTTGATTTTTGCAATAGTTGGACTATCCTTCTGACATTATAATGACATATGCATTTTTGTCAGCATTTGCCTTGATATTGTGCTTGATTAAGGTCTTAATTGCAATGTCTGATTAACTACTGAAGGTATACTCTTAGAAACTTTACACGGGTCAGTAGGGTTATACTAGTAGGTCACTTACTAGGGACTTGTAACACAGTGTTGATATTTGTTGAATTATTCGCCTTGCAGAATTATTTCCCTTTGTGAACTAAGAAAATTCCTGGTCTAAGTTTCATGTGTAAGTTCCATGTCCACAACTACTCGATGTCCTTAATTAGAATATATCTTAAATTTAATGTGTAACTTTATTTGTTCCATTGGATACATAATTGTATGTCACTGATCAAGATCCATAACTCTAATATATAACATTGAATTTTCACTGAATTATTGCCCTTTTTAGCTCACCTGTCACAAAGTGACAGGGTGAGCTTTTGTGATCGCTTTTCGTCCGGCGTCTGTCGTCCGTCGTCCGTCCGTCGTCCGTCCGTCCGTCGTCCGTCGTCCGTAAACTTTTACTTTAAATGACATCTCCTCATAAACCACAAGGCCATTTTCATCCAAACTTCACAGGAATGTTCCTTTGGTGGTCACCTTTAAAAATTGTTCAAAGAATTTAATTCCATGCAGAACTCTGGTTGCCATGGCAACCGAAAGAAAAAACTTTAAATATCTTCTTTTAAAAAACCCTAAGAGCTAGAGCTTAGATATTTGGCATGAAACATCTTCTAGTGAGTGTCTACCAAGTTTGTTCAAATAAAAGCCCTGGGGTCAAAATTGGCCCCGCCCCGGGGGGTCATTGATTTTCCCTATATGCATATAGTGAAAACTTAAAAAATCTTCTTTTAAAGAACTCAAAGAGCTATGGCTAAGATATTGAGCATCAAACATGTTCTAATAGGTGTCTATCAAGTTTGTTCAAAGAAAAGCCCTGGGGTCAAAATTGGCCCCGCCCCAGGGGGTCATTGATTTTCCCTATATGCATATAGTAAAAACTTAAAAAATCTTCTTTTAAAGAACCAAAAGAGTTAGAGCTAAGATATTTAGCATGAAACATGTTCTAATAAGTGTCTACCAAGTTTGTTCAAATAAAAGCCCTGGGGTCAAAATTGACCCCGCCCGTGGGGGGGGGGGGGGGTCATTGATTTTTCCCTATATATGCATATAGTTAAAACTTAAAAATCTTCTTTTAAAGAACTCAAAGAGCTATGGTTAAGATATTTAGCATCAAACATGTTCTAATAGGTGTCTACCAAGTTTGTTCAAATAAAAGCCCTGGGGTCAAAATTGGCCCCGCCCCTGGGGTCATTGATTTTCCTTATATGTGTATAGCAAAAACTTAAAAAATCTTTTTTGAAAAAACCCAAATAGCTAGAGTTAAGATATTAAGCATGAAACATCTTTTAGTGAGTGTCTACAAAGTTTGTTCAAATAAAAGACCTGGGATCAAAATTGGCCCTGCCCCGGGGTCATTGATTTTCCTTATATGTGTATAGCAAAAACTTAAAATCTTCTTTGAAAAAACCCAAATAGCTAGAGTTTAGATATTAAGCATGAAACATATTCTAGTAAGTGTCTACAAAGTTTGTTCAAATAAAAACCCTGGGGTCATAACTGGCCCGGCCCCAGGCGTGTCATTGTTTTTAACTATATGTGTATAGTAAAAACTTTAAAAAAATCTTCTTTTAAATAGCCCAATGAGCTAGAGCTTAGATGTTTAGCATGAAACATTTTCTTATGGGTGTCTACCAAGTTTGTGCAAATAAAAGCCCTTTGGTTAAATTGGCCCTGCAATGTTTTTGGGGGGGGGGGGGTTTGGGGCGGCCTATATACAGGTGAGCGACCTCAGGGCCATCATGGCCCTCTTGTTTAGAATATTTATACTTTGCCCTTAGTTAAACTGTTAAGCACAAAGATGGTTGGACATCATTATTGTCTGTATGCTAATGACAACGCTTGTGTGATGTTTCTGACTTAGATTATGAATTAGAAAGTAGAAACTACATGTACATATTACAAGTTCAATACATAGAAGGTGTTTCTGACTTAGATTTATAAATTAGAAACTACATATTACAGATTCTGTCTTATGTTTGTGAATAAGAATCTATGTTTTACAAGTTCAATACAATGAAGATGTTACTGACTTAGATTTATGAATTAAAAACTACATATAACTAGTTTTTAGATTTATGAATTAAAAACTACATATAACTAGTTTTTAGATTTATGAATTAAAAACTACATATAACTAGTTTTTAGATTTATGAATTAAAAACTACATATAACTAGTTTTTAGATTTTTGAATTAAAAACTACATATAACTAGTTTTTAGATTTTTGAATTAAAAACTACATATTACTAGTTTAATACAGTGAATACAGTCTTGTTTTAATACCATGAAGTTATCTACATTATGGTCAAGGTTATTTTAGACAATTTATAAGTATATACACATGTATACACAATCGGTAATCAGAGTTTAATTTGCTGTGTAAACCTCTATTCTTTTTTACTCTCTTTTCTCTTTTAACAGCTATCTTCAAATAATTAACAGTAATAAAAATTAAAAGATTGTAGCAAAAAGAGAAAGAAATATTGTAAGGTTCTAGCTGTAATATTCATTAACAATCACTTATCTCATCTCATATATAATAAATGCAAGTCATGTGTTATATGAAACTTACTAATATTTAGTATGAGAGAACCTGTTGCATAAAGAATAGAGTGATGTTAGGTGATGAAGGGTGTTTTATGAATCATATATAAGTATAAGCACAAAATAAGGCACATGGTTTTCTACGACTGTTTGGTTGACAGTTTGTATGTTCCAATGTTATTCATTTCCCATATACAGTCAAACCTGTGAATAAAGTTCATCCAAAGAAGAGACCAAACATGACCTTTATAGGCAAGTGGTCTTTATTTGGAGGTAACTCTGTTTTATCTAATCAATGAAGGGTTTTGAAGCATGGCCTGTATTAACAGGGTTACATTTATTCATAGGTGTTCTTTAATACAGGTTTCACTGTAAGATAGTTCCTGATTTTTACAGTATTTAGTTCCCTTGACAAAAGTGGCAGAGTTTGTCTATTGTGTGATGTACTGGTATTTACACAGGTTAGGTGCATGATGTTGAGACAGTTGTGTAGATATATGATTATTATTTAAGAAGTTGTCCGTACTTCAGATAAATGCGGCAGATATTATAGAGAATCAACATATACAAGAGAGAACTCAGAAATATGAGAGTCATGTGAAGGAGTTACAATCACAGATTCTCGTGCTTACACAAAAACGGGATGATCTGTCTGCTCAACTTGAGGTAAACATTTCAAACAGAAAACAGTAATGGGTTAGGATGCTTGTAAACTAATAATTTTTTTTTTATGTGTGAAAGTTGCTACCCTATTGTGAGTGATACTCATATTGCTTAATTTTACTGCCATCGATTGATCTTGTCAGTGTTATATAATATAAACATTTATGTTTACCTATGCATTTCATAGCCTTTAAATATGGTCAGTTGTTCTTTTAAGAGAGACAAGTTAAGTTAATCTGCACTGATAATCCGTAATCAAATAATTTCGCAATTTGATTAAAGTAAGCTCGTAATTACTGCTTCACATTAGGTCATGTAAGACATGTGGTAGATTGAGACTTACTTAACTTATATTTGGTGATGGCCATGTTGGATTTTATTTTGGTATTGGATTTCTTCTGTTTAGCATTACCAAAAGCTAAATGTTTCTTCCAGCCTTTCCTCTGGGACATTTTTAGTTATACATGTATATGCATATAAATATTTAAATAGAATTTCAATAAGCTAGTGTAACTAAATAATTAAAATATGTCACTGTACTATCTAATTCTAATTTGTATCTTCTAACCATATGTATTCAGATTTTATGAATTTGCATACATATATATGTATGTTTGCAATTCAAAAGTAAGTTTTAGTTAATTGTCCTCTTTTTTTGTAACAATGAAATAAGTTATGAAATAAATGTGTAATTGTTAATTAAGTTTATTTATTCATCTTAATTTCTTTTACTTTTTCTGTTTTAGTTTTTTTTATATATATAAATTAAATAGAACAAAGATATCCTTATTGTTGATAAATTAACTTCAAGTTTTCATTCTCAACTAACTTGATACAGTGCAATAACTTTTTGCATTTGACATTGTAAAACAAGTGGGTTTCATTATATGAATGCATCCTGTGTCTGGATTAAATTTTTGTACATGTGTGTTATGACAGGGTTGATTTTAGTTTATGATGAAAAATTATGCGTGTTTTATTGTATCAGGAGAGTCAGAAGGCAAGTGAGATGGCATCACAACAACTTCTCCACTTACAACAAGACAGAGATAAACAGATACAATCTGCACAGGAAGCTAACAAGGTACAACTTTAAATGTATCACTTAAATACATATACAGCTTTGAAAAAGGTTGGTTATTCTACCAGTATGCTTACATATGCCTGAAATAAGGTACAGTAGGCCATTTGTTGTTTCTTTTGGATATGCCTGAAATAATGTACAGTAGGCCATTTGTTGTTTCTTTTGGATATGCCTGAAATAATGTACAGTAGGCCATCTGTTGTTTCTTTTGGATATGCCTGAAATAATGTACAGTAGGCCATCTGTTGTTTCTTTTGGATATGCCTGAAATAATGTACAGTAGGCCATCTGTTGTTTCTTTTGGATATGCCTGAAATAATGTACAGTAGGCCATCTGTTGTTTCTTTTGGATATGCTTGAAATAATGTACAGTAGGCCATCTGTTGTTTCTTTAGATATGCCTGAAATAATGTACAGTAGGCCATCTGTTGTTTCTTTTGGATATGCCTGAAAAAATGTACAGTAGGCCATCTGTTGTTTCTTTTGGATATGCCTGAAATAATGTACAGTATGCCATCTGTTGTTTCTTTTGGATATGCCTGAAATAATGTACAGTAGGCCATCTGTTGTTTCTTTTGGATATGCCTGAAATAATGTACAGTACGCAAGCTGTTGTTTCTTTTGGATATGCCTGAAATAATGTACAGTAGGCCATCTGTTGTTTCTTTTGGATATGCCTGAAATTATGTATAGTAGGCCATCTGTTGTTTCTTTTGGATATGCCTGAAATAATGTACAGTAGGCCATCTGTTGTTTCTTTTGGATATCCCTGAAATAATGTACAGTATGCAAGCTGTTGTTTCTTTTGGATATGCCTGAAATAATGTACAGTAGGCCATCTGTTGTTTCTTTTGGATATCCCTGATATAATGTACAGTAGGCCATCTGTTGTTTCTTTTGGATATGCCTGAAATAATATACAGTAGGCCATCTGTTGTTTCTTTTGGATATCCCTGAAATAATGTACAGTAGGCCATCTGTTGTTTCTTTTGGATATGCCTGAAATAATGTACAGTAGGCCATCTGTTGTTTCTTTTGGATATCCCTGAAATAATGTACAGTATGCAAGCTGTTGTTTCTTCTGGATATCCCTGATATAATGTACAGTAGGCCATCTATAGTTTCTTTTCACAATGAAATTGGGATATGCCTGAAAAAATGCACAATGGGAGATCTGTAGTTTTTTCTTTACAATGAAGGTGGAACAAACATGAAATAATGCACAATCAGGCATGTTTAGTTTCTATTCACAATGAATCTGAACATGTCAAAAATAATGCACAATGGGTCATCTGTATTTTTTTTCACAACAAAGTAGGGATATGCCTGAAATAATGCACAGTTCAACATCTGAAGTTTCTTCTTCACAATACAGCTGGAACATGCCTGAAATAATGTATGGTGGGGCATCTGTAGTTTCATCTGGAACATGCCTGAAATAATGTATGGTGGGGCATCTGTAGTTATGTCTGGAACATGCCTGAAATAATGTATGGTTGGGCATCTGTAGTTTCATCTGGAACATGCCTAAAATAATGTATGGTGGGACATCTGTAGTTTCTTCTTCAAAATAAAACTGAAACCTGAAATAATGCACAGTGAGGCATCTGTATTTTTTCACAATAAAGCAGGGATATGCCTGAAATAATGTACAGCAGAGCATCTATGTTCTTTTAACAATAAAGCAGGGACATCAACACATGACCTTAACAGTTTCAATTTGATTAAAAATATATCCTTAACAAAAAAAAAACAAAAAACAAGATTAATATTTGAGATTGTTATATATTTTTGTAAACTTTTAGATAATATAAAGTGATGACTATTTCAGCTTGCAGAGAAAAGGAAGGCAATGCTGGATGAGTTAGCTATAGAATATCAGAAAGATGGTGATAAACATAGAGAACAAATGTTAACTATGGAGAATGATTATGAAGTTAGACTGAAAACTTTACAGCAAAAACTAGATCAAGAGCAGGTAATGCCATAGTTGAGACAAAATTTATTACTGCTATTCTTTCAACTTTACCTCATTCACCTTGAAAGAAAATCTGATGTTAAATGTTGATGTATAGTTTATTATTAAATTCTATATATCGTAAAAAAACATTTAAAACAAACACCATACTGGTAATTAACACAATCTTCAACATGTTTGATTATGTTTTATGTTTATATAAATAATCAACATTAATATTAGTTTTGGGAAAGAAATGTAAATTATAGTGTCCTGACAGACTGTGACATAAACATGAGTAGCTTTGTTAGGCTTAGTACAAAACCGTTATCATGTTTGGTATAATACTTAGCAATTATTAATGATGAATTAACTTGTTAACATTTGTATAAACTAAGGTTAATTGTGACTTGAAGTAGAAACTAAGGTTAATTGTGACTTGAAGTAGTTCAGAAAGAAAAAATTCACTTGCAACAAATTATGAACAATGGAGTGAGGAGGAGTTAGCTGATTTGGTACAATTTGTTAGTTCTACAGAATAAAAAATAAAAAATGTAGGAACACCCACCTATTCTGTTGTTGAGTTTTGATTGAGATCGTCTTGTATAGAATAAAAGAAATAATATTGATATTATATTCAATAATATAACCATATATGGCAACAGATCTGTTTCAAAAACAAAGCTTGTCATTTATTACTTGCAGTATTTTCTTCCTTTATGCTGACCATATTTAATTGATTAAACCTTTTTTTTTGAGCTAGACTTTGACTTTATATGTTGTAGAAAAAGCATGCAGAACTAGAAAAGTTGAAATCAACATTAGAGGAGAAACAGACAGAAATAAACTCACTGTCAGAGAAATGTGGTTGGCTTGAGAGGAAGTTGTCAGATACTGAGGTATACACTCAAACCTGTTTTAAAGACCACCTTTGAATTAAGACCACCCTTTAAATAATGGATGTGCCTTTAAATAAAGATCACCTTTTAAATAAAGGCCATTTCTTGACATTGATTAAATTTAACAGAGTAATCTCCAAATTAAGACCACTTGCATAGAAGACCATGCCTGATATCTTGTTAGGATGACCTTTGTTCACAGGTTTACCTGTGCAATGTTTGTTTCTACTACAAAATGTGACAGTCAATAGACTGTTAATGCTACATTTTACCTTTAAATAATTAAACAGTGTATCACTAATTGTATATGATGATTATTTCTTCACCTATGTCATGCTGGTCCACTATACATGTAATACAGTCTAACTTGCCCATGCGACCATGTGTATTAAGCGACTTTTGTCTTAAGCGACCACTTTAAATTCTCTCGATCATTTTCTCTTTGTCTCTTTAATGTATTGCGACTTTTGCTCAACGCGACCAGCGACCACTAATTATTCAGCTAATTGAGATAAATCTAATCATCAAATGACCACTTTTACCTGCCAAGTAATTGTGTTTTTAGAGAATGCCACCTCTAATATCACAAATGTCAACAATCAAAACACAACATATAAATGTGTGAAAAACTCTATTTCACAAACCGTTTTAGTGTATGCAAATGAAGTTAAGTATACGCGTGACCTGTATTATCCAGTAATATTGAATAAACAATGCAACGCTCCGCCCCTAATGAGATAGTGTATACGCTTGGCTTGTTGACATTTAGACTGCATTGAATTGACCTTGAACTTGATCAGCAATTAAATAATCGTAATAATTAGATGTAGTTTGTTTATTTCAAATGAAAAAATGCACAACAGGAAACATCTTCACTTATTAGGGTTTTCATGTTGGAGACAAGGAAAAACAACGGAGAAGTTAAAATATTCTGAAAAAATCTCACACATGTGCATAATGGATCAAAACTGTTTTGTCATTAAATATCAGAAAGTTATTTTTTACATTAGCATCCATTTAGATTATCGGAGCGTTCTAATTATTCAACATTGATATAAATGAAGTAGAAAAACATTCCCACCCGAAAGAAAGATGTCATTTATAAATTTTGACTTTTATATCATGTTTTGTCTTAAGAGACCGTTTCATTAAGTGACCACTTTGGGTGTTTCCCTTGTGCGGTTGCTTAATAAACTTTTGACTGTATTAAAAATAAAGGGGTGTTAGTGTCTGAGTAGTTTAGGTCTTTGACTTAATACTCAAACCACTTTTCCCTCATTGCTATGGGTTCGAATCCTTACAGGGACTTTAGATTTTTTCATCTGAGGAGGCTATACAGCTAGCTTACAGAACATCAGTGGTTCTACTCAGGTGCCCGTTCATCCCTTAAATATTGCATGAAGGGGAAACCAAGTTTTTCCTTCACTGATAAAGCTTGAAAAATGCCATTTTACTTCTACTTTGCAATGTAAAACTGAACCAAAAAATACAACAACAAAAATATAATATTGCCATGATATCTTTCAGACATGAATTTGTTCTCTAGATTGAAAGACTTATACCATAAACCATTTCTATGAAAATGTCTGAAAACAAAAATAAACTCCTTGTAGACTGGTTATTTCCCTTGACAAGTAATTTTGGATATATAATTTTGCACTATACTTGTTTAAAAAGGTGTAAATGAAATGTTGCTTTTTTGCAATGAAAATAACAACAAGTTTTTAAATGTGTTCTTTCTTTGAGATGATTTTTATCACTGAATTAATTCTACATTAAAACCTTATTAATATCAGGGCTCACTGGACAAGACTTTAGATGAGAATGAAACAACACTGTTGAGTTTGAAAACTGACCACGAGGAGGAAATAACATCTCTTAAAACTGAACATTCCACACAAATTGAACAACTTACAAACACATTCCAGGCAGAAATTAAAGTAAGTTTTATACTCTAAAATGATAAGGCAACTTATAAATTCAATAATGACTCTCTTTAATTAATTTTAAGTTGCTGATATTTTTGTATTAAAGATGTTGGGGACTTTTAATTCATGTATGTGAGGAAGCTATCCAGCTAGCTTACAGAATGTTGGTGGTTCTACTCAGATACATTGTACCCATTTGTACCTGAAAGAGGCACCCAAGGTAGTCCTCCACCATTAAAGCTGGAAAGTCACCATGACCTGTACTGTGCCTGAAATAATGCACAAAGATGCACCCAAAGTCTTCATCCGCCAGAAAATCTTGATGGTTGCAATTTGACCTATAATGTGTTGGTGCAACGTAATGCCCCCACCCCCTTTCCTTCTAATAAAAAAATGAAGAAGAAATGATTAGTTTAAGGCAAACAATAAACGTCTTGAGTGTAGTATGTAATATGCAGTTACAGCTGTAAAATGAATGATAAAGCTGATACTGTACAAGTAAGTTAATTTGATTCAATAAATGTTTAGGTTTGTAGAATATGTTCTAAATTTGGTACATTTTCCAATCATCAAACATAAGTTCATCATGAAATTTCTGTTTGTTCTAGTCACTCAAGGAGTCAGAAGAATCTCAGAAGCAAGTTATTACCAATTTAGAAGAAGAAGTTAAAAAGTTTAAACAGGTATGTTTGATTTTGTAACTCCATTTTATATTTTATCAGAACTTTACCATTTAACGTAAGTTTATCTATCAACATTCAAAGTCATCCCTTTGAGTCCGTAATGTGATATTCTAACATGCTTCACACTATTTCCATGCTTATATGTCATATGACATCAGATATGACGTCAGTAAACCAAATGATGTCAGGAAAATTACTTCTATGCTCAGTGTAGTTCAACTTATATTATCAATTCTCATTTTAATGAGAATGATAGAATGGAAAAAGGTATTAATGTTTCTTGTATTTTAGTATAATAATGCAAGGTTTATTGTTTAAATGCTTTGTTATTAAAAATAATGCCAATCGGCCTTCGTGATTATATTCCTACACATTTGAACTCTAACCACGCATTATTCTAAAACAAGGCACTCAAGATTGATAATTATTTCCTAAATATAGCAGTCATAAGTCATCAGTGTAAGGTCAGGTCAGGGTAACACCAGATTCTAGCTGCCACACTGGAGACTTGTGCGGCTTAACTCTTAATGTTTTGATATGGAAATCTCTAAAATTACCTGTAGAAAATTGCAGAGTCAATGCTGGACATGATCACTTTAAATCATTTAGCCATGCTTAATTATATGTTAGATTTTCTCAATATTTTTTTTTTGTCAACCAGATATTTTTAATCATTAGATTATTTATATTATCAGGAAAGATTTTCTCAATATTTTTTTTTGTCAACCAGATATTTTTAATCATTAAATTATTTATATTATCAGGAAATAAAAGATGGTGTAAATGAGAAAAAAGTACATGAAAAGAAAGGAAAATCAGTGGTAAGTAGATAATTTTACCATTGTTGACTTCATGCTATACTTCTTACAATTCATTTTAGAGTAATTGTGAAACTGCCAGTTATTTCCTTTGCTCTGCTATCATATAGAAAAATATACTTCCCTGTATGAATAAATATGTTGACATGTTTATACATGTGTTTATAGTTAAAAGATCTGAAGAAACAGCTTCATGCAGAAAGAAAAAGAGGAGATAAACTTCAGGAAAGGTTACAGGAAGTTTTATCTAATGGATCTCACAATAAAAGTAAGCATTTAGAGTAGCCATAATTGAGCCGCGTCATGACAAAACCAACGTAATGCGTTTGCATCCGCGCAGTCTGCTCAGGATCCATGCTGTTCCCTATCAGTTTCTCTACTTGTAATAGGGTTTGTAAGCAAACAGCATGGATCCTGATCAGACTGCGCGGATGCGCATGCTGGTCTGGATCCATGCTTGTCGCAAACCCATTATGTTGGTTTCGTCATGACTCGGCTCAATTTATATTAGTAACAATATTTGTAACACGCACAGAGCTCTTATATATATTTTTGTTTTGAGGAAACAGGACCTTACTTAATAAAATTGTTTTATTTAGGCTTTTTTAGCTCGACAATTTGCAGAATAATCGAGCTAATGCAGTCACCCATTTGTCGGCGTCGGCTTCGGCGTCCCTGTGGTTAAGGTTTTTGCGTGTAAGCTGGTATCTCCATAACTACTGAAGGGAATGGATTGAAACTTCACACACTTGTTCTCTGTGATTATCTAAGATGATTGGCACAAGCCCCATAACTCTGATTTGCTTTTTTACATAATTATGCCCCTTTTTCAACATAGAAATTCTTGGTTTAGTTTTTGCGTGTAAGCTGGTATCTCCATAATTACTGAAGGGAATTGATTGAAACTTCACACACTTGTTCTCTGTGATTATCTAAGATGATTGGCACAAGTCCCATAACTCTGATTTGCTTTTTTACATAATTATGCCCCTTTTTCGACTTAGAAATTCTTGGTTAAGTTTTTGCGTATAAGCTAGTATCTCCATAACTACTGAAGGGAATGGATTGATACTTCACACTCTTGTTGTCAGTGATTATCTTAGATGATTGGCACAAGTCCCATAACACTGATTTGCTTTTTTACATAATTATGCCCCTTTTTCGACTTAGAAATTCTTGGTTAAGTTTTTGCGTGTAAGCTGGTATCTCCATAATTACTGAAAGGTTTGTACCTTTTCGGACAATTTTATGTATTCATATAGGTAAACATTATTATACTCAATGAATCACCCTTGTGACAACTTTTGGAATAGTCGAGCTTTACTGTCCTCCGACAGTTCTTGTTAAAGATATCTTTTTCATATAACCTACTAATGTTGAATATCAAAATAGTTTGTATTAAGAGGTAATGATTAATCTATACTTTTTTAAGTAAGAAAATTACCAACTTGTTGTTAAAATGTTAAGGTGTTGTGCTCTGGTAATACAAGGTTTTTATAAGTAAACAGTTTATATGTTTAGATTACTAAGGATGCAAAATTATGTACACAAATGGACATCAAATTTCTTTTTTATTTCCATTCGTTTTTATTTTACCAATTATGAATATAATTTCTATATGAATTTTCAGGCATTGAGGATTTATTCCGTACACCAGACATGATGAGTGATTCCTGGCGGGAAGACCAAAGGTATATTGATCCTTCAGATAATTATGAAACAATAAACATATTTTTTATCCAAAATGAAACACTACTATACCCATGTATTCCATGTTAACACACATACAGCATCATATGCCTGTGTACATTAGCTTTGTAAACTGTACTAGGTCATGTTTTCAGTGATTTACTTTGCTCTAAGATGGTAAATTACACAGGAAAAATAGCAGGCGGGACTTACAGAAATTATTTTCTTGAAATCAAAAAGGAATTGATTTTCTACAAAAACCTTTGAGCTTGACATTTTAAGGAAGCTTTCTTATTGGCACCTCTTGTTAGCGTAATATATCTGTTTACACACCAAAACAATGATTATTGAATAATAATTATACTTGCTGTCTGTTATATTATGTCTAGAAAGTTAAATACATGTAAGAACTGAAAGGCAAGCTGTTGTTTCCATGAGCAAGAAACTTAGACTGTTCCAGGAATGGATTTGAGAATGTTTCATTAAGCTTAAAGCTTTCAACACAATCAAACTAAAATTAATTTGTATAAACTAAAGTAAGTATATGTACAGTAATTGAGCCGCGTCATGACAAAACCAACATAGTGCGTTTGCGACCAGCATGGATCCAGACCAGCCTGCGCATCTGCCCAGTCTGATCAGGATCCATGCTGTTTGCTTACAAACCCTATAACAATTAGAGAAACTGATAGCAAACAGTATGGATCCTGATCAGACTGCAGGGATGCGCAGGCTGGTCTAGATCCATGCTGGTCGCAAACCCATTATGTTGGTTTTGTCGTGACGCGGCTCATATATATATTTTGTTATTTCAGTTCTGTATCATCATGGAGTGGAGGGGGAACTTTAGCATCTTATGGAACAAATCCTAGTGTAATGGTCAGTACAATGTTATCTGTATACCATCATTAACCATTGTTACTTGTATTGATTAATGAATGCGTCCAAATATACAATGTTAACAATTTTCGGTATTTCAGAAAATGTCTATGGATGATGAAATTTAAGGAGTTACCTCCCTTAAAAAGAAGAACAATGTGAAACCAAAAATAGAAATAAATGAAGCCCAACAGTTTCTGATTTCTCAATTTGTTCTGTCCTGGTTGAAGAAATCACGAAGTCCTGAAATCTCATCATATCCTGGGTGGACTGTGCATTGTCTCTGTTTAAGATAAGGTGAACTCAATTATCAAAGTTTACATTATGAAACACCTCATGCTGATTTTGGATAATACAAAATGTATATCTTCTATGTAACATTTTTACAGAGTACATCACCACAGAGTTCTCCTATGTCACCCAGTTCCGAGTTTCCAGGTACAGTGAGGAACGAGGGATTGGAAAATGAAAGCAAGGAATTGCTTGGTAGACTAGCTGCTGTCCAGCAGGAAAAATGGGACCTCGAAGAAAAGGTTTTTATTTTAATTTTTTATTTAAAAATACAATGGAAATTCAGCTGAGTTACCAATAATGAGTTAAGGAAAAATCTATTTTTTCCAGTCTTGGAGATGTGATTTAAGATATCAATAAGCAGGACAGAATGTATGAAAATGAAAATATAATATTAGCTTTATTAAGTTTTATCAGTTTGTTCAAGAATGATTTGACAATACATGTACAGTAGAACTTCGGTAAGTCGAAGTTGAAGGGACTTGCGTAAAAACTTCGACACATCGGGACTTCGACTCATGAATCGCGCTCAATTCCATGACAAAATTTCGACCCTTGACTAGTCCTAATTATAAGATTTATAACGTAACATATTTCATGTTTTTCCATTTACATTTTACAATGATAAATATAGCATGTTAAATAACGTTTTTCACGGCTAATTATTTGGACTACCCGTTGACATATACAAAAGAGTTACAAAAGGCGTATTAATACGAAAGGGCGATAACTAAACCAGCTTATAGTAAATATTTCGCGTGTTATTCTCACGCGACACCGGGCCAAGGATGTTTTCAAATGAAAGTAGTTCTTACTGTTTACTTTCAAATAACACTACGGTAATTAAAATAGTTACGATTTAAGCATTTTATCACACATTTTATCGCAAACAAAGGTTGTTTGAACACACGGCTGTGTAATTAACACCTATCACACAAGTTGATTGAAAATCGTCTTCGCAGCCAGATAAGGTGTGAAAATTGTCTCGAGATCAAAGGTGTCAAAAAAATACGACTTCGACTTATTTGTGGTAAATTGCACTAGATTTACTTTATACGGACCACGAAAAAACCTCGACACATCGAAAAATTCGACACATAAAATTTCGACTCATAAATAGGTTTTTATAAGGAATATATAGGGGGGAAAGTCGGGACTTTCATTTTTCTTCGACACATCGAGAAAATCGACTAATCGAAGTTCGACTCATAGAAGTTCTACTGTATTTGCAATATTTTGTATTTGATTTCAGATAAGATACTTGTTTTGTATTTATTATTTACTTTCAGAGTATGATATTTTATAGCAGAAATTTTCAAAAACAAATCATGGATTTAGCAAAATTCAAATGGTTGTAACTTTTTTTATTTTTCAAGATATTTAAAAAAAATGAAACAATTCTGAAAGGTCCTAATGGAGTGTTGTTAAAAAGCATTGTTGCTATTTAAGATCCACTGTGACCCCAGTGAGACACTATGTATTAGTTAGAGTTGGTCTAAGAAATTTACTCACATAGTTCAATATTATTCCAGGTTCGTCACTTAGAGACCAGTACGGCAGCAATGGCGAATGATTTAATAGAAAAAGCCAAAATAATAGAGCATTATGTCATGGAGAGTAGAACAGGTATGTTGTTATATTATAATACAAAGTACATAAAACCAACAAAGTGCGTTTGCGACCAGCATGGATCCAGACCAGCCTGCGCATGCGCGTTGACTGATCAAGATCCATGCTATTCGCTTACCAACCCTATTACAAGTAGAAAAATGATAGCAAACAGCATGGATCCTGATCAGACTGCGTGGATGCGCAGGCTGGTCTGGATCCATGTTGGTCAGAAACGCATTATGTTGATTTTGTCATGACGCGGCTCAATTATGCTTTCAGTGATGCGAGTTGACTTTTTTTCCTAGGTGTCATAACTGGTAATCACACCAGTGTGGATTATGGAAGTTGAAAGAGAATCTCACCAGTTGTGGAATTTGAATCCACAACCTCTGGACTAGAAGTCCTATCCCTCCTCTAATGTTTGTGGAAGGAATTTAAATATCAAACAAATAATGTTAAGCAGCTAACACTATCAGGGCATGATCAGGCTGCTTAGTTTCTGGCTTGTCTGGCTCTTTATTGCTGTTAACACTCTCGGTGTAAAGGAACATGAAAAATTTTTTATATACTGTTTATTTGTTTAGGCCCATAACTTTTATGTATCATTTATAAATACAAAGAAATCAAGTTGGGTTAGTATTTGTGGAGAAGTTGTTAATACTGGTTTTTAATTCAGGGCTATTAGAAAGCCTGTTAGCATAACTAACATTAAAAATCTTATGGACTCGTCTATTTTTCAATCTGAACAAAACCATTGGTAATTTTTAGAACAAATTTCAATATGGACTGACTGAATAACAAACAGTGTAAACAATTTTGTAGACAGTACAGGTGTGTTGCCTGACATAAGTCTGCACTGATTGAGAGGGTAGATTAAATTGCCATTAAGAATCTAAGCATTAATGATAATATATTTAAATCATAATTTTTTTCTTTCTTTCAGATATGAAACACAACAATAGTCAGCCAGATGACAAAATTACGTTTAAAAAAGTTTTAGATCTAGTCAATAAAACCGATGAACACGGACTTCGTGAAATGAATAAAAAACTTCAAAATATGCTTGAGGAAACACTCACCAAAAACATGCATTTACAAAAGGTATTGTATTCTATTTTAACTGTTTTATTTTTCAATCTGAACTTATTCAAAATAAGTACAAAAATCACTTTTCATAACAGGTGTTATGACTCAGAGATATGTTAAAAAAGGAAATTATTCCCAAAGATCTACATCTACAACAATTTATACTTGTTGTGTTAACTCCAACAGTCCATGAGTACTGTATAAGTGGTGGAGCTAGCGACATGGAAATTTTGAATTTTGTAGATTGACAAAAGTCACTAAAATTTCCTCAAGCATAAATATCAACCAACCTGTCATTAAATTCTACCCTTCCACCTTCCGCTATTATTTTCTCTGTGGGTTCGAATCCTGACAGGGACTTTGGATTCTTTCATGTGAGGAAGCTTTCCAGCTAGCTTACGGAATGTCAGTGGTTCTACTCAGGTGCCTAAAATAATGCAGGGAAGGGCACCTGAGGTCTTCCTCCATCAGTAAAGCTGGAGCCTCTCCAAATGACCTATACTGTGCCGGTGTGACGTAAAACCCAATCTAACAAAACAAACAAACCGAATATTTCCTCACACGAAATGTTTGGAATTTTACATTTGCTAACTTTTCAACATGCGAGAATATCTACTTGTAAAAGTATTTCAATCACTTAAGAAGAGTGCCTCTATAACCAAGTGGTTAGTTTTGGCAGAGACATAGATAACAGAGATAAGCAGCTCCTATATACTCCATTGAAATATCACTCATGCCTATAAAAAAGTGGAAAATTAGGCATTTTGTAGCAAATAAAACTTAATTAATGGATGTACATATGATCCTTCAATATTATATACCATTTGAAAGGTAAATCTTTCATCTATGGCTGCATGTTAAAATATTGGTAACTTTCCATGCCTTTCACTTTGAAAAACATGGCAGAACATACCCACTGAGCCAGTTTTTTATCATATGAATAGTTTTGTAACAAAAAATATTAAGTAGTTCTCTTTAAAAAATGATACAACATTTATATAAATGGGAACTGTAAATATTTTTACCTGCAGCCATAGACAAATGCATAAGCTTTCAGAAAATGTATTATTTTACCGATTTTGATATCTGGTTAAAAAGTTTTACTTGCTACAAGTTTTTGGTTTAGTAGGCACGCGTGATATTTTAACTGGCTAGGAAGTAGCCTATCTCTGTTATCTATGTCTCTGGTTTTGGGTGACATTGAATCACTTGCATCTAATGTCTGTTGTTTTGAATCCTCCAAGGGACTTTGAATGATTTCATGTTAGGAAATTGTTCAGCTTACAGTTACTACGGTTTTAGGTTCTACATCAGGTGCTTCATGTATCTAAAGTAATGTACATAATAAACCCGAGGTCTGTCTTCATCAACAAAGTTGGAAAGTTGCTGTATGAACTTCAAATTGTCATTTCCACTCAAAACCATAATTGGTATTATCACTGTCCTTATTTTTCTGATAACACAAAGGTGATTAGAGTCCTTTGGGGGGGGGGGGGGTCTGCACCTTCCAGCCAGGATTTGTGTTCTAGTCTATCTTTATGACTATAATTTTTTAACATGTCTTATTAGTCAAGAGAAAAAAAATCAATATTGATTATTCAGTTACAAAAATTATAAATAATATTGAATTACTGATGTTTTAAAGAGCCTTTCCCATTTACATATTAGGAAGTCAGTAGATGTGACTGCTATTGGTCCATACTAAACGCTTCATTTTGTATGCTTACTTTTGATAAATTTAAGAGATTTGTAATTATCACAGAAAATGATATCATTGTTTGTACAAAAGCATAGCTAAACAACTTTTTGTTTTTAGGATAGGTACAGTTACTTCCCTTTGATTATATATGTTTATACTGAAATAGATTTCCCTTAGCCAGATTTTACCTACCTGTGGTTATGATGATATTTTCATAATATGCCAGCCTCACTGGTTTTTAGTGATACAACAATATACCTTTATATTGCTATGCAACTTCAACCAATAGATACCAAACCCTTTTATGATAAATGCACATTTTGCTGTCAGATAAAGACTAAAATGTTATAAACATTGACCTATTATTTAGATTAAAATGTTTACAATATTTATCATTTATCAAATATAAAAACTTTAGTTTGATAATGTTTTTTCAATAACAGTCAATGTATTGCAGTATGTATTATAATAGCAGATGGCTGTATATCCCAGTGCAGTTTAGAGCATGTTGTTGCACAGCTACTGGTTATGTTCAGATAATGTAGACCCTTTCCTCATTGTGTTTTTAAATGTTTAAACCAAAAACACTCATTGAAATGGTAGCTAAAGCTTTCTTGTTCATGTATAAAAAAAATTTACTCTGTGTAATGGGGATGGTTCAATGACTGGTCAGCTTTTATTTCATGTAATATTTTATTGTTAATGGCTGATACGTGTGTCTATGGCCGAGTTGTTAAGATCTTTGAGTTCAAATCACTTGACATCCACTGCTGTCGTTTCAAATCATGACAGGGACTTAAGCCACTCACTGCTGTTGGTTCAAATCCTGCCAGGGACTTTGGATTCTTTCTTGTGAAGAAATCATCAAGCTAGCTTATGCAACATGTGTGGTTCTACTTAGGTGCCCTTTCATGCTTGAAATAATTCAGGGATGGGTGCCTGAGGTCTTCTTTCACCAATAAAACTAAAAAATCCACATATGACCTCAACTGTGTTGTTGAGACGTAAAAACCAACTAAAAAAAAGGGTACCAAGTTATTATCATGATAATGTGTATAGTGATATTTCAGGTACTATCATATTTGGTTGGTACAGAATTTATTTCAGTTTGATTGTGTAGGAAATTATAAGCTTATAGTCACACTTTCATATCTGTTCCTGGAACCAGCCAGTACTGAGCAAGGAGTGTAAAGCTTCTTGCTCAAGGAAACAACGACTAACTCCTGATGGGACTTAAACCCATGCGGCTAGCGATCATTAGATTACTAGTCTGACGCGTTAACCAGTCAGCCATGCCGCCACTTTGCAATCATGTTTGCCATTGTTCTCACTTTAAATTATATAAATGATCAACTATGTAACTGAAAGGTAGCTGCAGAATGAGAAATCAAAAATTAGATAATTACCTCATTTACCTCCCTTTGATCTGAAAATATTAACAGTAAATACCTTTGTGGTATGATTTTTTAGCTTGACTATACGAAGTATATGGAGAGCTGTCCTACTCGCCCCTGCGTCGGCGTCCGCGTCCAGATTTTAGATTAAAGTTTTGGTGCAGTAAAATATTTCTCACTATAACTTTGTCATATCTTAAGGTATCAACTTCAAACTTCAAATATATGTTCCTTATCATCAACCACATCTTATGTGACAAGGTTCATAACTCTAGCACCAATATTTTCAGATTTATCTCCCCTTGAACTTAGAATTTTCCTTCAAAAATACTATTTTTTACTGTTACTTCTTTATTTCTTATGGGATCAACCTCATACTTCAAATAAATGTACCTTATCATCATCCCCATCTTATGTGACAAGGTTCTTAACTCTAGCACCAATATTTTCAGATTTATCTCCCCTTGTACTTAAAATTTTCTTCAAAAAGTACTATTTCTTACTGTTTCTTCTTTATTTCTTAAGTGATCAACCTCATACTTCAAATATATTTACGTTATCATCATCCCCATCTTATGTGACAAGGTTCATAACTCTAGCACCAATATTTTCAGATTTATCTCCCTTTGAACTTAGAATTTTCCATAAAAAATATTATTTTTTACTGTTACTTATTTACTTCTAAAGGGATCAACTTCATACTTCAAATATATTTACATTATCATCATCCACATCTTATGTGACAAGGTTCATAACTCTAGCACCAATATTGCAAGAATTATCTCCCTATAAACTTAGATTTTTTACTAGAAAAATGTTATTTTTTATTATAACTTTTTTATTTTTAAAGGTATCTACCTCAAACTTCAAATACTTATTCCTTATCATCAATTACATTTTATGTGACAATGTTCATAACTCTTGAAGCAATATTTACACATTTATCTCTCTTTGAACTTAGGATTTTCTTTAAGAAATATAAGAAAATAACTTCTTTACTTTTTAAGGTATCTACTTCAAACTTCAAATATATATTTCTTATCATTACTCAAATGTTGTGTGACAAGGTCCATAACTCTAGCATGACTATTTCTAGAATTATTCCCCTTGATCTTGGAATTTATGTTAACAAATATTATTTTTTACTATAACTTAATACATATTTATACATAATTGATTTTTCTTTCATAGTTTTGTCCTCCTTACTGCGTCCTGTATTTTATTAGTCAAGCTTCGCTGTCTCCTGTGACAGCTCTTGTTTGTAAAAGAGAGCAGGCAATTTTTTAACTACAAAGAAGTTAGTTCAAGTGCTGTCATGTATTTGTGAAATATCATTAGTTTTTTACTACTAATTGACATATCATATATTTCTTGCTGAAAGCCTGGTTAGTACTGATAATAGAATGGGGGAACACATGTTAGGTCTCTCCCTACTAATATACCCCCATATATATACAAACTGGCACTTAACATTACCAGACCATTATATACCTCCTGAAATACCTGTCATACTAAATCTGATTATTATATACTTAATGTAAATTAAACATGACTTTATTGGTAGTTTGATTAAATTTGTGATGCAACAAAACTGTCTAGACGTGTATTGTAAGCTCATTCTGACAGTACAATGAGGGTACCATGGGGATTGTAATTTCAATTTTCAATACAATGTTGCAGTTGCTGCTTCATGTGATTTGAACAATAAAGAAAAAAATGTATCTACAAATACAGAATGATTTATTTAACTTTTGCATTGTATATAAAATGCTTACCAGTCATGTAGTGATTATTCATAAAGTTAGATGTACACGTATCTCGATGTAAAATTTCAGCCCCAACAGTTATTTTCACACTATTATCCTTTGTTTATCTCGACTAATAGTTTTCGTTCATCTGTTCCCTTCAGACGTGTGAAAAACACAAACTGGACGATAATTGCTCAATAGCGCGTGTCATAATGATGATTATGTTTGTAACAAGTTAAGCTGGTTTTATAAAAGTTAATCTATTTAGCGTGTTGATTGACTTGTGTCCAAAATGAGTGAATTTTAAGTTCTTTATAAATATTCGAAAACTGTATCAATTCATTATGACTTTAAATGCAAATGAAATAGTGAAAGTATAGAAACGCTATCGTTGCAATATTGTTTCACAACATCACCACCAAATCAATCAGCGGTCGAACAATCTCGAGAAAGATTCGATAAATAACCAGGAAGGATATCCGGATAAACCACCCTGAAACAATGTTTTCACTATATTGGTGTATTACCGAGTATACCTCACTATGTGTTTTTATCACAGACACCCGTATTTCCGCTGAAAACTAAAAACTGGAAAGTTGACCTATACTGTGTGGGTGCAACAATAAAACCCAATAGAAAAAGAAAAAGAAAGAAATTTTATTATCAAATTACTTGTTAATAAGTTTATGAAAATTTTCTGCACTTGTCTAAATTTTCCTTCTTTGCCTATGTAAAACAACTGCAGTAGTCTCACAATCATCTTTACATGAAAAAGATATAATGCTGTTTCTTATCTAAAACTTATCTAAACTGTATAATCCTTTAGCTGACTTTTTATTAATAGCTGACTCAACTTTTGACATGCCTTACTTTTTTATGAACTTTTGCAACTTAAGTTGTTATTAGCTTCACAATCTAATTATACAAATAAACCATATCTGATTATTGAAAATCTACAATCAATAAATACATGAGCTTCATCTTGATGTACTATCAAGTCCTTTGGGTTCATTTAGTCTTATCACAAGTTAATAATTTCATAAAATCCAGACATGCCAAATATACACAGATCTATATCTTTTATATGAATCATAATCTAGTTTCTCCTAAAAATAAAGATATAAATATGGAATTTATATACCATAGATTTTACAAAAATATATCATCATGGAAGCTGAGTTGGCATTGCACAAATATGGGTGCTAGCATGGCGTGGCTGTACACAAATGTTGAGCTAGTCCAACTTTACACAAACATGGAAGCTAAGCTGACTTTACACAAATGTGCAATAACGTCTGGTTTTTAACAAATATTTAGCTAGTCCAGCTTTACATAAATGTCTGATTTAGTGTGGCTTTGAACAAATGTCTTGCAGCCAGTTTGACTTTAACCAAATGTGGAAGCTAGCTTGACTTAACACAAATATGTAAAACTGCCTGGCCTTACACAAATGTAGAAGCTAGTCTGGCATTGAAAGTTAGTTTGACTTTTCAAAAATGTTAATGATAGCCTGGTTTTGCACAATATTGAAGCTATACAATCTGACAAATGAGGAAGCTAGGCTGGATTTACATATATGTGGAAGCTAACCTAGTTTTACACAAATGTGGAAGCTTGTCTTTCATTACACAAATTTGGAGACTAGTCTGGCTTTACAAAGATGTGCATGCTAATCTGACACTACAAGCTAGTTTGGCTTTTCACAAATGTTGAAAATAGCCTTGCTTTACACAAATGTGTTAGCTTAACTGGCTTTGCACAAATGTGCGAACATATCTGGATTTTTTACACAAATGTGTGAGCTTGTATGGCATTACAAAAAGCTTATTTTGATTTACACAAATGTATAAGCTAGTCTGGCTTCACACAAAGGTGCAAGCAAACCTAACTTTACACAAAATGTGCCTAATAGGCTAGATTTACACAAATGTGTGACCTAGTCTGGTTTTACACAAAGGTGCAAGCTAGTCTGGCTTTACACAAATGTAAATGATGCCTGGCTTTATACAAATATAGAAGATAGTCTGGGTTTACACAAAAAGCACAAATATTCTTGCAACCTTTAAATAGGTAAGGTCTGTAACTTGAAGGTCATTGCATACTTTTATAGCTTCATATAATAGGAATTTTGTTTATACATGTATAAGTATACAGACTGAAATTGTAAAATGGCTTTATCAGTCAAAGACATATACATGTACTGAAAATATCGAAATAAAAATATTGAGATAAACAAATATTTCCAATATAGATAAAGAAGGAATTAAATCGGGACTTTCAAAATTTCATCGAGATAACGAAATATCGAGAAAAGCGATGTCGAGATAACGATAGTTGACTGTATATATACTCTTGTTTTTTCCTTATTTTTACCAAATAAGGAAAATGAGAACTGGACAAAATCTTTCTAAAAAACTTGTACATAAAATCATGATAAATGTGACAAGATGCCATCTATAAAGCAACTGTCCAATTCAGATAATTGATGAAATATTTTTCATGGCAATTAGGTAAATATGAATGAGTTTAGAGATGAAGAATTATTCATCGTCTTGACCTTTATTTACTCTCTACAGTAACTATTGATTGACAATGATTCATCTCGTACTATGAAACTTTTATCTCTTCTAATAAATGTGATAAGAAAATGCTCGTAAACTTTACAACCCTTCTTTTTTTTCCGTTTCTCTTCACGAGTGCAGATTTCTTACAAAAATCTTCTCGCAATTTGAATGCTGTTGTCTCGCAGGGGAGAAAAAAGTGGAATATTTATCAGTTATTGTTTTACGTAACACCATAGATTCCAGCAGTGGGAAGTTAAGTGGTTTTTTCAAGGGTTTTATTATTGTTTGCTTGGTCGAAAGGAAGAGGTTTATTTCTTGAAATTGTTTTTGGTGCCTCCCACACATATCTTTTATTATAGTAGATGGATGCTTTCATCAAAACTTTCATTCTATATTGATTTTGGTTTAAGTTTTTAGAGGCTACTTTACTGGAATGTTGTGTAATGTATAGTTCATTGTTTTTTGGTTGAGTTTTATATCACTCCAATATTGTAAAGGTCATATGAAGACTTTCCAGCTTTAATGCAGGAAGACATCAGTTGCCACACCATGCATTAAATCAGGCACAACCAGGCATCTAAAAGTAAAACCATCAGAATTCCTGAATCTGACTGGATAGCTTCCTCACATGAAAAAAAATCCTTAGCAATATATACATAATGCTTCTTTTAAAGACTTTTTTATGTCACATGTACACTTAATCAAACTAATCAAATTTTTGAAAGAGACATTTGTATTATTTTGGACGGGGAATGTCTTTTTTGACTGTATGAAAAAAAAAGTCTTTAAAATGGGTCAAACCGTTCACACAGAATTAGTAAGGCTAATATACATGTACACTGTCTATTTCCAAATAAATGAGATGTCACAATTTTAGGATTTTTAGAATATTGATAATCACATTGCAATTTACAGAATTTTAGGACTGTGTTTTTTCCATGGTGATAAATATGTTCTATATTTCAGGATTTAGAAACTATGTCACAGGAAGTTGTAAGACTGAGTAAGTTGCCACACCATGTAGATGCAAGAGTGAAAAACAGTGAACAAAATTCCATAACACCAAAACAGGACAGTTCTAATTGTTCTAATAATACGGACGGACAGACAGACAGTATAAAGTGCTCTACTGTGAATGGCGCTGTATCATGAGACTTGTAAAGGGTTGAAATGGCGTGGTGAAGTTGTTCAGAGAGAAGTGAGGTTGAGCTCTCTATTCGTCACACAGAGACAATGGGACACTGGTCATTCCTATCGTCCACAGAATGCCATACATGTGATATTACATAATATACTTGTTTCTGACAGTTTTAATGTCAACAATATACACAAACATCATAAAGCATCATGGCATATTCCAAATACCCCAAAATCATTATTATTCATTGGGGCACTAATTTTCATGGTTTTTAGTGTATAGGTCAATCCACAATTTTAAGATTAGACAAAATTTTCATTTCATTTGCTGTAAGATTATTTTGCATCACGTTATTTACATTTTACCCACTGGAAAAATAAACAGTCCACAGATTTAAAAACCCATGAAAGTGGGGTTTTTTTTGGTGACAAAACCATGAAATTTCATGTCCATGAAATTTCGTGAATTCACAGTAACACAGTTGTACTAAAGGGTTGAATGTTATTTACACTCAATAAGAATAAAACTGTCATGTTTTATAAATGATTCACTTATTCTATGAACCAAAGAATGCAACATTATTATAATTAGACAATTTTCCAAATTATCATTGAAAATAAAACTCATTAATTATATGGAGACTTGATAATCTGATTATTAAAAATAATTGTTTGTTTAATATTGTGCTATTATTTAAGTTTTTTTGTGGGGGTGTGAGAGATTTACATCTTTAATGCATTAATTTACTTAAAAAAATTTTTTCTCACATGGTTATATAATCTAGGAACATAATAGAATAAGAATGATTCATCAGAATTAACTCAAGGTGGTGGCTATTTTTAACTCTTGATACTGAAATCTATTAAAGTAACATTGGATATTTCCAAACTCAATGCAGAGCCATTCCATTTGACATGTTTAGCTGATACAGTTATCAAACTAACTGCTGTTTTTACTGGTAACTTTAAAGCTGCATGCCTTCATATTCATGATAAATGTCATGAAAAAAAAAATGAAAATGTATTTTAAAGTAAAATATTGTGAAGTGAACAAAGAAAGTAGTTTTTACATTGCAAATGACACATACAGTACATGTAATTTACTAATAATAGGTCAAAATATGCAAAAATAGGCCTTACTGCTTTGTCACGAAGAAATAATATGGTGATAAACAATGCAAACTCAGTCATTAATTGCACATAACATGTAAATTATTACTTGACTCTTGAATCTTTTTACTTTTCTTTATATCATAGTTCATTTTTCTCAAGTTTGATTTCTTGAAATATTTTAGCTCATCTGAAGGCATGCAGCTTAAAGTATGGCTCCTCTTTTTGTAACACACTTATCTAGATTCCCATCATATCACATGTTTTTGTTAACTATAAAATCTTGATTCTTGTACTGTTGGGTTTCTTCTGAAAGGATTTTTCTTTTTTAATTTCAAGAACAATTAATAGTATATTTGGATTGTCAATATTTTTTATTATTGTCGCTGTGTTGAATTGATGTTGTAATTTTGATTCTTTTATTAAGCTTGCAATAGCTCATGTTGCCTTAAAGATGGTGATATATTCTGCTTATTTCTACACAATCTGGTGATATTATGTTTATTTTATTTCTTTGTAAGAATCTTTCATTTTGCTTTATATCTGTACTTCAGGTATGTCAATTTTTTATTTTTGTACTTAATGATGTATATGTAAGGTGAGAAAAAAAGCCATTTTTTATCCAAGGTAATTTTATTTTTTAAATGTCCTGGAATAGGCTTAGGCATATGGATAAAGTTTTTCTTTTAGATATACACAATAACTACACCTTTACAGAAGAATAATGCTTTTTATTCATGTGACTATGGTTTAATGGTTTCCTTGGCAAAATTTAAGATCAGCACTGCCTTTTATAGTTTATACATATTTAAAAGCTTGATTTCAAACATGGTATATTAAATCTTAAAAAAGAAAAATATCTCCATTTGGTTCATGTTAAAAGAAACAACTCAGTGGAGTCCCTTTAATAAAATATAAATTCAGATGATGAGTCATCAGTTTTTTTTATGTCAGTTAATTGATTATATCATAAAATCAGACACTGCAATTTTTTTTTGCAGCTGGTACAGATTTTAACAAATTACTGCGGGTTACTTCCTTATGGAAATTAGCACAGCAGTGTCTTAATTTAATGAATCTAGAAAATGATTTAGGTAAACAATGTTTTGCTAAACCTTTAATTTATCTTTTAGCCTTGCTGAATTATTAAAGAGATCACTTACTGTTAACTTCTGTTGATGATTTTGCCTTTTTAAAGTAGTAAGAGAAATAATAAACTTAAATGGAAAATTTGATTGTTAAAACATATAATAAAATATTAAAAACTAGTTTGCATATCCAGAAATTCGATCTTATATTTGATTATCCAAATAATAAAAGAAATAATGTTGATATTTTCCATAACAGAAATATTAATGATTAAATTGACATTTTGTATTTATATGAAATGTTTGAATTACAGATTCAAGGTCAAGAAATTTACCTTGATTATTGTTTATCAGATCTTGGTAATTAGGAGGATTTTATGAATAGGAATTTAATGTTTGGTAGATCATTCATGTCATTCTCTCAATGTGCCAAGTTGTTTATACATGCCATATCATGATAACTGTTTGTTTTTCTAGAATTCATGGTCCATTTTCATTATGAGATGTCAGATATTATCCTAAATTATGCCAAAAATTTGCTTAATTTTATGTTTGAAAAAATACAAAACAAAAACAAAATATTTCAAACAGAAATGAGACTGAATTGATATATTTTGCAATAATAGATCAAAGCGCACAATAATGAAACAAGTGCATAATTAGGTTTTATTGTTATATTTGAATAAATTAACATTGTGAATTAGATCCTGAGATATTTATTTATACTCCGCTTTCTTGGCTAGACCATTTTTTTGCTTTTATTTGCTAGACAATTTGATTTTATTTAAATTATATGGCATTTTACTAAGTGATGTCACAAATAAGCTTTTTCACATGATTAAATTTTGTTTTCACCATAAACTTTAAGATTTTGACCTGATAAATATGGTTACAAGACCATAAAGCTTTTTGACTTGAAAATGAATATTTTATTTGAAAAATCACCAAAAACGTACGACAAAGAGCCATTTATAATAAAACTTATAATTATAACTTTTGTGATCAAGCAGTAAGATTTTTGACTCAAGGAGTACACTTTATATCAAATAATTTTTTACCAGGAACAAAATACAACCCTTCTTTTAGTTTGAGTAATCTTGGGAATTTGTTATTAGGTAACAAGAAATTGAGTTTAGTGAGAATATTTATGAAATTTTTTATGGTGCAATGTAGAATTAGTTTTTACTGCTCAATAATTTAATATTTGCTTCAGTTTATTTCCTGCTCAAATTAAGGTGAATTAGTATAACCATAAACAAACACATGTAGTTTAGATTGTTTTAAGACCTGTTTTGCTATCCAGAGAAATTTATATTGTTACAATTTTCACCTTTGCCTCTATGATCATTTTGTAAATTTACAAAGTCTACTGTGACTGATTGTGAATAAAAATGATTCTTTCTTATAATATACATCTCATTTTCATTAGATGTAAGATGAATAGGTTTTGATTCATACAATCTGTCCATGGAAAAGATAAATACTTTGTTATACATTCCATATTGGTGTTATCATAAATCTTTGTACATAGAAAAATAATTTTATTTGATTCATTTTTATGTGGTCTACCATTTTCATGGAAGTAACCATAATGTAAGATCTATATTTAGAAACTTTCCTACCATATGTAAAATTTATATATTGAAATTGTTCTACCATAATTTCAGATCTATATTGAGAAAATGTTCTAAGTGTGGTTTAATAATGCAGTAAATAAGCCACTTAAATAGAATATATTAAAGTCTTTAAGTAGCTCAGTCTGCTTGACATTTATATCGTCTCACATTGAACTTATCTTTTTTACATTTCACACTTTCTCTACATACTCATGGGAAACATTTCCACATGACAATTTATTATGTTTTTTATGGTTTACCTAGTGTAATAATCACGTGAACTGACTTAATTTGACCTTTCTATTTCTAGTTTTAATATATTATTTATTAAAAGATATTAATAGAAGATGTTGCTATTCTAAGGTTCTTTATCTCTTTTATAAACTCTGGCTATTTCCACTTAGTTTATTAGCATATTTAATTTATTTTCAGTAATTTTGTGGGGGCATTATTGCTATAAGTGGTTTCATATCTTTGGTTATTTCAGGAAGTGCTAATATTTTAAAAGGAAACTTGACCTGGTGAATTTGTGTAATGGGGTTTGCCCTACTTTGAATTTGGAACAGTCCATTGAATTTGGAACAGCCCATTCTCAGGATTTTCCTCATCAAAATATAAAAATTGAGCAATTAACATTATATAACCTGTTCAATCTTTCCTACCATAATGTAAAATCTATATATTGAAATTGTTCTACCATTTTAATATATTATTTATTAAAAGATCTTTATAGAAGATGGTACAAATGCTATAGCTAGCCTGGTACAAAGGCTAATTGATTCAGGTTCCAGCAGGCTAGCCTGGTACAAAGGCTAATTGATTCAGGTTCCAGCAGGCTAGCCTGGTACAAAGGCTAATTGATTCAGGTTCCAGCAGGCTAGCCTGGTACAAAGGCTTTGATTCAGGTTCCAGCAGGCTAGCCTGGTACAAAGGCTAATTGATTCAGGTTCCAGCAGGCTAGCCTGGTACAAAGGCTAATTGATTCAGGTTCCAGCAGGCTAGCCTGGTACAAAGGCTAATTGATTCAGGTTCCAGCAGGCTAGCCTGGTACAAAGACTAATTGATTCAGGTTCCTGCAGGCTAGCCTGGCTCTATACTGGAGGCAAAGGCTTATCAATTTAGCTTCCAGCAGGTAAAGGGTTAAATCTAAATTTATATTTTACCACAACCTGATTTCCATAAACTATTCACTAGATTTAGAATAATATAAATATAAGTGTTTCCTACATAAGAGTCAATGATTTTGGTAGTTATTAAGCTTTTGACTCTACCAGAAGTGTTTTATATTAATGTTGAAATATTTTTATTGTCAGATCTGATATTTATTGTTGTAAGAGAATGCAGTACATAGTTAGGTTTGAGATCATAGGACAGGTTTCTGTATTTATTTTTCACAAATCTTATATATAGAAATATATGTTAAAAAGGTTTTCAAGTTTTACTTTATTTTTGTCTGAGTAGGATAATTATATGTTCATTCTTTACTGAGAAATAATATTATTCTAAAGAAAGTATTTTTGTCATTGTTTTTAGAAACTGGACATTTCTGCATTATATTTTAAGTCATTAAAGATATGTAGTGTCAAAGTTCACAAATAATTACAAAGCCCACCTGATGAGTTCAGTAAAGAAAGTGCTAAGGCATCATACCTCAGGATTGCAACTTCAACCCATTGTCATTCCACGTGTATTGCCATGACAGATTGTTTGAGAAAAACACTTTTAACGTAATTCGTCCTCCACTGCTTAGAAATAATGATATTAAGGTAACTGCAGTAAATTAGAATAGTTTTCCTTCGGAATCCAAGAACATTCATTATATATTTGCCAATCTGTATGTGAATAAAAATAAATACTGTAAATCTGGTGCTAAACTACTGAAATTATTTACATAAAGCAAGCATATTGTGACTTATTGACTTATTTAGTCTTGTATTTTGTTTGTTATTTCAGTGTCATTATATGTTTAATCAGGTCTATAGTGCATCGTAGGTAAGGGTCCCTTACTTTGAATCAGATTTCAATGCATGGTTATTGTACTTTGCCTATTTCTACTTAAAAATAATGCAAGGAGGGTCACCAGGGGGCATTATATCAGTGGTGCTGGAAAGAAACTATATAATTGTAACTCTATAACACTTACCTCGCTAAATATCATAACTGGACCTGTCCAATTGTCAGTCTGGATGAAATCATTTATCATTTTTAGGGAAACATTTCAAATATGTACTGACCTAATAGTGAACAGAACCGATCATGATCAGGTGGCATGGATCTGCTGGCATTGTCTGCATTGACGGCAATGGTATTTTTGTAAACACCAGCAGACTGAAGCTTAAAACCGAACTATTAATTTTGAAATATTCATCACAAAACTAACATTCATGTCATATCTGTTTTAGTTATTGTTAATACTCATTTTATCATTTGTTATTTAGTTTTATTGATTGTGTATATGTCTATGAAATGTTACTATTATAATTATTAAAGATATAAATGGTATTGGTTATCATTCAATAAAAACATGATACTTTTTTATTGACTTTGGTCTTCTCAATTTCTTACCATTTGAATATAAGCATTATATAACAAAGTGTTTCCAAGTCCATTAGTATAAAAAATTATTATAACAAAATTGTGAGTGGTTGGGGACATTGCTAGTTATACAAGTCAGGTCCAGATTTATAGACCCTACTCAAGCCTGCATAAATTCCTTGTAGCGAGAGAAGTAACAATACTTGATTCTCCAAATACCCTTTCCAAAGCCAGGATATAACTTTATTTTAGCTTAAAATGTTTAAATGCTAAATTTACACACAAATAGCTTAATAATGACATCTAAAGATTCTCACATTAAATGAAATTATTCTTGAATAATTAATTTTAATTTGCCTGAATGACACAGATCACTATTACACGCTTTTAAAAATTGCTTTGATTTTGTTTTAAAACTATTTCCAATCGTACATAGAATGATAGCTTAAAAAATATTTTTTCTTTTCAAATATGCCATTACACATAATATTCTTAGAACAGACACTTGCAGTATGCGCCATATATAAGTTCATTCCTACATGTTACGTTTTCGGTTTCAATGTGTAATTTTACATTATATAAAAATCGACAGTTTACTGACCGACTGTTGAATTCTGTTTACTTGCTTTATATTTGTAAACTAATCTAATAAAGCTCTAAAAGGAGACAAGTAATTGAATAAGGCACATCTAATGCTTGTTATTTACGTTGAGCAAAAAACAAACAAAAAACAAAAAAGAAAAGAAAATTTAAGAAAGAATATAGCATGGTTAGGATTTTCAACACTGGAATGGTTATTCACCATAGTTTAACTTGATTTAAGTAAATTGTATCTGCAAATGAATGACTTAACAACCATATGTTTTTAAAGAGTTTCCTCGCTGATATTAAACATAATATATTAAACGAAAGGTGACAGAAAATAATGAAACCCATCTGAACTTCAATGTGCTCAGATATCAAATGTAATATCGTCACTTCTGGTGTTCTCTTCAAAGTCCAATTTATTTATATAGAGTTGCCCATGGAAGTGTCACACTGAAGGTTTTATGACATAAACGTGTTTCAATTTGGTATATAAGTGTAATACCAGTAAATCTTTGATGTCACAACTACTGGAGATGCTTAACTTTAATTTCAAAGAAACGATTAGATATAAATAATGTTTTCAAAGTTTTAAAATATTTATACTTTTGTTTCATGAACTCTGCATGATGCCGTCCAAATGATTAAAATATATTTCTGTTTTCATTGCACTCTCTTCTTATTGTCAAGAAGGCAATGATTGCTTTTATATTGAATAAACTTCTTTGTATAAGATATTATTCTACAATACATTTGATAATCAAAATTAATCAAAAATGTTCGTTGTCTTCAAGAATTAGTAAACATAGTACAAAAGGAAAGTGTATGTTATTTCACGTTTGTTTGATTTGATGTGATCATTGTGATGGCCATCATGTTGTTTCCACGTGAACGTAGAGTAAATCGGGGCGTGCCAGGGGCAAAATTGCCTGTTGACGTCTGAGGAAATAAATCTATATGGAACGTGTCAGTCATTAAAGTAAAATATAATTTATTGCATTATTATAAAATGTCGTACAAGTCATTAAGGTAAATATTTTTTTTTCTAAACTACACATGTGTCTATGAGACATGGTCTTTAAGTTGGCAAAGTTGTGCGTTGCTTTTTATGGGTTTTCTAGCACTGCTATCATGCATTATTGAATTGGACCACAACACACGTATGGACATAATAAGTCCTGAAAATAATCATTAATGTAATGGGTTTTGAAACCAAGGTTTAAAAACTGAACTTAATCAATTAGACATTCACTAAATTCAATCATCGACTGTGACCTTGACCGTTGACATAATTACATACACAAGACACATCGTCTACTTATGTTGGTCTTTTGCACCATTAAATTGCGAAATCCAATCATACGAGTACTTTCAAAAGTTTTGATTGCAGAACTACACTGAAGGACATGCGAAAATTACGCTCTTTGACCATGATCTATTTGGTACATTATCTTCTTACAGCGGTAAGAATCCTATTATGCTTGCCTGTTGCAGTTTAAACTATTGTAGTTTAAACAAATATAAACCTTATTTTCTTGTTCCCCTTTCACAATTTCAGCATTCAGCGAAATATTCATTTCATGTTAATATCCTAAATATGTCCCTGTGTGTAAATGAAGGTTATTTTAGTATAAAACCTGCCGCAATGACTGTCTTTCCGCGCACCTATTTTACGAAGTTTTGATCATATTGAGCATAGTGAGACGGCACTAATTTAATTCACTTTACTTTCTGATGACTTTGTTCGTCCCCTGAGAAACAAATTTCTGAGTGGAATGATCGTTAAGAAAGGAAGGAAATCAAGAAATAGATGATTTCTCTCCTGCCTTTCTAAGTAATGAGTCTAACCCTAGATATTCTTGCTGCACAAAAATTTCAAAACAAAAAAGACAAGCAAAAACCGGCTTCATGGGCTTTAGGATTGAAATCGAGAAACTTGAATATGTTTTAGTTATTTTGAGTAAAACTAAGACAAAAGAAAACAACTGCTCTCCGTGTATGGTCTCTAGCAATGAACATGTATGGATATGTCATGTGGTAACTTGAGTAACCTGATGCTGATAATGTTTGATCTAAATTTGTCATAAAATAAATAAATGATTTAAAATACCAACCAAAGTATATGAATCTTACCACAAGATCCCAACATTTTTATTCATGCTATACATGTACTGTATGTTGTTAATACGCATTATTGCTCAAAAATAAAAATAAGTAAAATCAGCTTAAGTTAAACATGATTGCAATGAATGGTAATCTATTCTATTATTGTTATCTATAGACTTTTTTATCACATGGCTGCCATTAATATTTTGCGTTTTGAGAAAATAATTTGGTTATCCTCTTACTATATAAATATATATTATATCTTAGATACAAAATTAAACATCTTCTAAAATAGCAGTAATGTTAACCCGAGAAATTGATGTTTACGGAGCTTCCTTTGGCTACCAAAGGTATAGAGCCTGCCAGACTGACCGGATGTGCAGCTTGTTCTAGCTATTAACTGGGAGTGGTGATCATTTTTGGTTGTAACAGGCTAAGGGTTAAATTATTCATAACAGATTGTTTTACTGTTTTGTTTTTGTTTTGTTTTGTTTTTATAAAAAGTTGTAACAGAATATTATAATTACATTGTATTGATAAAATGTCTGAATACTTGTCCCGAAAAAAATCAATGTACAATATAGTTTGCAGCATGTTATGTCTAATTTATCTATAATTGTCAACACTGTCGCATTTTTTTTTAAAATACTTATATATAAACGTCTTTCCAACAGCAACATTATTTGTAATGGCATAGGGTTAAATATAGTCTACAGATAATTTTCATTGCATCATTTTAAAACATTTCTATTGTTGATGCAATGACGGTCAAGTTATGTTATCATATATTAAAAATGTTCAATCATCAAACGTTTAAATGTAATTAGTCTAAACGAATAAAAGGTATTCAACATTTCTAAAATAGGATTGGTGATTGTAGCTGTATTTGTAGAGCTATGCTTGAAAGGGACACGAATATCGAATATTGTTGTGTTACTTCTCTGTAAAATGCTACCAAATATATCTTTATGGTTGCTCAGAAGGTATATGCTTTCAAACCTATGCAACCGGTAAATCTATTCAAGCATAGGACATCATATGACATGAATACTTTGTGTTAAAGGCTAACAAAACAAACAAACAAACAACAACAATAGGATCTGATAATTCTGTACTAGAAGGAGTATGTCGGGGAATAAATATACAGACGTCACGCACATGAAGTTTTTTGTGTTATCTTGATAGATATAAATGGTTTGGTCTCTGGAGAAATACAGATAAATTTTCTATTAAATTATTTTCCAAAAGATAAGACGTTACACCAATGAATAAGCTTAGATTATGATTATTGGTATTTTTGTAATAGAACGTTTGATACATATAATGAGTACTTCAACGTGAGTTCTCAGTATTATTAACGCGGAATATTCTATTGTCTTAAAAAGATAAGAAATAACAAGATATAAAAAATTATTTACCACATCACTCGACATAATCAAAGTAACATTTAACGGTTACATTAAATATATTGAGGGAAATGATTTATAACACGAGTAGTTGCAATTTCTTTCAACAAACTATGTTATATTTATATGATATTTATACAGAAAAAATAAGCAACCGTATCAAACATAGTGATCAGATATCAAAGCAGCCACAAGAAAACGGTATTTTAAAAAAAAAAAAAACAAACAACCCTCTCTCCCCCCCCCCCCCCCCCCAAAAAAAAAAAAAAAAAAAAAACAACAAACAAGTAGGAAATAAAAAGATGTTTTTTCTAGGTACAAAATGCAAAAAGATGTTTAAGTGATTTATTTAGTTACCATATGCTATGATTAATCAGGTTAAGCACAGTTTCACTATGTCAGTAGAAAATATAAATTCAGCGATTGCGACCATCATCTTTAATATGACTTGAAGCAGCGGCATCCAAAACACCAAGCGGACAGTTTACTTTTGCTTAGCTGCTGTGCAAAATTGTGAAAAGTCAGTTATTTTTCTTACATTACTTTAATTTGGTCAAACAGAATATTTATACAAAATATCAAAGTAATACTTTTATAGAGGACTTCAAACATAATATCATGGATTTCGCGAGATGAAAATTAAGATGTATAAAAGGAATAACTCATTAATGTCACACCTACTTGAGATGCTTAACTTTAATTTCAAAGAAACTTTTAGATATAAACTATGTTTTCAAAGAGTTCAAATATTTACACTTTTGTTTCATGGTCTCTGTGTGTTGCCGTCAAAATAATTAAAGTATGTTCTGCTCTCACTGCAGTCTCTTTTGTAATAAGAGTAATGATTGCTTTTAAATTGTAATATAGACTTCTTTGTATTATATATTCTTGTACAGTATATTAA